AAACGAACAAGGTACCAATATCCGAACACAGGAACATTTACTGTGTAACCCAACATATTCATATATGGATGTCTGCCAGGGAGCCCCTGCTGCGTGTGGCCCCTGGCCCCCCAAAAGAAGGGGCCATTCAAGGGCTGGATCAAACATTGGAGGTACCACATGAAAGTAAGTGTAAATGAACTGTTACATCTCACAGAGTACAGAATGGGCCACGCCAGACAAATCTTCCTCTGCAAGAGGCCTGCCAGACACCCCCAAAGAGGGTCCCAAAATTTGGGCTGGGTTAAACATTGGAGGTACCACATGAAACCAACATAAAATGAACTATTTCACTCTACTAAGAATAAAAACCCCATTGCCAGACAAATCGTCTGCTGCATAAGGCCCGCCAGACACCCCCAAATGTTGACCCTTAATGCACTCAGTGGACACTCTGGTAAAATTTGACCAGAGTATACATTCAAAGTACCAGATGAAAGTAAGTTTAGATCAACAGGTACATGTTACTGAGTACAACACAGCCCATACCTGACAAATTGTCCTCTGCATAAGGTCCGCCAGACCCCCCAGAGAGGGTCCCAAAATTTGGGCTGGGTTAAACACTGGAGGTACCACATGAAACCAACATAAAATGAACAATTGCACTCTACTTATTGCACAATACCCATTGCCAGACAAATCATCTTCTGCATAAGGCCCGCCAGACACCCACAAAAAGTTGACCCTTCAGGTATACACGGGTAAAATTGGTCTGGAATATATATCGATTGTACCACATTAAGGTACGTTTGAATGAACAGGTTCATATCACAGCGTACAGAATGGGTCACACCAGATAAATCTTCCTCTGCATAAGGCTTAAACATTGGAGGTATCACATAGAACCAACATAAAATGAACTATTACACTCTACTTATTACAAAATACCCATTGCCAAACAAATCCTCTTCTGCATAAGGCCCGCTAGACAGACCCTCACCCCACCCCACACAGTTGACCCTCTGTAATCCCAGTGTGCATAATGAAACATTGGACATCAGCTCTGAGAGTCAACAGATGGTCAAATTTATGTTTTGTTCTTAAAGATGGAAGGATTTTATTGAGATTAAAATCACGTATTTATAAAATCAGGTCTCTGAATACTAGTATTGATATCATAGATTAGGCCTATCGTTGAAATGTAATAAAAAAAAGGCATGAATCTGATTCTTGTGAATATATATCTGATCAGCTATGAAGTCCTCAAAGCCTGCTATAGCCTGATAGCTTGGCTATGGATTACTACAAACCCAAACATGCTTAGGTAGTCCTCAAAGCTTGCTATAAGAATTGTAAATGACAGTCTCTAATACCATTTGTTTATCTTTTGGTGATAATTGTGTTTAAAAACCTATGATCTCCGTTTATTTAGCAAGTTTTATCATCTAAAAAGCTGAATTCCGGCCAAATATTTCCATATTTATGGTCGGTCCCGAAAAGTTTATCGTATCGAGAAACCTAACAAAATCGTGGCACAGACCTGTGTGAAAATACCAAGTTTGTCAGGTCACGGAAAGAGATGAACAGGGTTTGGTGACACGAAAAGATGAATGTTCTATTCTTGATGTATTTTCGTCCTGATCTTCACAACTTTTCTCGGAGTGTCACGGTTGGATACAAAAATATTTTTCTGCTAAAAGAGAAGGGCCGTTACTGATATTCACCTCGTCAAAACTATCGCACCACCAAATGTGAAATGTAATTACCCATCATGTTTTATGATTTTGTTCTTGTTGTTAAATGTAAATGTATGTTCATAATGTGACATGGTTTTGATTTCAATACTTAAATATCTGTTATGAAATCTCCACTATATATATAAATGTTCACAAGGCCTTACGTCTCAGATTTGCCATCTATCTGTTTGAATAAACGTCTTACACTAGACAGAGAGTCATGATATTGGCGCGTGAGCTGTGCCACGGTTAAATGTGTTTAGACTTCTATCCATAGAGCTGTGTTTTCAAGCAAATGTGAATTCTTTTGTTAAAAGAAAAGCCGTTTCCAAACAACACCTAGCCTTTTCTTTTCTGCCAACCTCTGAATGCAAATATGAAATCTTAATAATAGTGCTATTGACGTTATAATCACAATATAACTTGAAGCATTTATCAAATCATAAAACACTTTGAACTGAATAAACATGATCATACATGAAGGTCGTGAGAAACCTTCCTTTGACACACCCTGGTTTGTCTTGGCATTGTAATTATTTTCATGGCGTGATTTCCCACTTGAACTAGAATTAACATGATCATACTTGCAGGTCATGAGAACCTGTTTCTTGGACCCCCCTGGTTTGTATTGCAATTGTTATAATCTGAAGGCGCGACCCCCCAGTGTGGTACCTCCAATGTTTAACCCAGCCCAAATTTTGGGACCCTCTCTGGGGGGTCTGGCGGACCTTATGCAGAGGACAATTTGTCAGGTATGGGCCGTGTTGTACTGTACCTGTTGATCTAAACTTACTTTCATCTGGTACTTTGAATGTAAACTCTGGTCAATTTTACCAGAGTGTCCACTGAGTGCATTAAGGGTCAACATTTGGGGGTGTCTGGCGGGCCTTATGCAGCAGACGATTTGTCTGGCAATGGGGTTTTTATTCTTAGTAGAGTGAAATAGTTCATTTTATGTTGGTTTCATGTGGTACCTCCAATGTTTAACCCAGCCCAAATTTTGGGACCCTCTTTGGGGGTGTCTGGCAGGCCTCTTGCAGAGGAAGATTTGTCTGGGGTGGCCCATTCTGTACTCTGTGAGATGTAACAGTTCATTTACACTTACTTTCATGTGGTACCTCCAATGTTTGATCCAGCCCTTGAATGGCCCCTTCTTTTGGGGGGCCAGGGGCCACACGCAGCAGGGGCTCCCCGGCAGACATCCATATATGAATATGTTGGGTTACACAGTAAATGTTCCTGTGTTCGAATATTGGTACCTTGTTCGTTTGACCAAAGTGCTCTGGGCTGCCGGTCTAACAGGATGATGTTTAAAAAACGGATCCAATATTGAAAAAAACGGTCAGTGTTAATTACTGGGTTGATATACATTTAAACAATATGTAAACCTTACACAATACCATCCAGCTCTTTCTCTGGACATTGGAGCAGAAAAGCATATGACCACACAACTGATTCTGATGTGGGGAGTCGAACCTTGTTAGCAGATTCCTTCCATTCTCAGTTATTTTTTGTTTGTTTGTTGTTTAACGCTGCACTAAGCAATATTCCCTCTTTATGATGGCGGTCTGTAAATAATCAATTCTGGACAAGACAATCCAGTGATTGACATCATGAGCATCGATCCACGCAATTCGGATATGATAACATGCAGATCTCTTCATACTGACATGGAGGTCTTAATGCAGTTATCAAAAACCTACTTCAATGTACTTAAATCCAGACTTATATTTCCTGGTTTATTGTACATATGGTGAAAAATCCTGCTCCCCCCTACATTAAAAAAAATTAGATATTTGCTTTTCTTCATTAAGCTATCTGAATATGATCCTGTGTGTGCAGTGTTGAGGAATGGCAGAATCAAAAAGCTAATTACTAAAAATTGCCTTAGGGAACAATTCTGTACAGTTTCGGCAATGGGTCGCCACTGAATATTTTTTTTACCAAATTATGCTTTAGGCCACAGGGTGCCGTTGTACAAAACAACCTTAGCCCTATGACTGTCGTAAGTCTATGTTAAGGTATGGGAGTTACGATCACCTTAGCGCTAAGATCGCTTTGTACAATGGCACGCTGATCCACAAAGTTTTCACAGCATAACGACCTATCATAACTCAATAGTTTATCATAGGCTTTTGTTTGTTTGTTGTTTAACGCCGCACTCAGCAATATTCCAGCTATATGACGGCAATCTGTAAATAATCGAGTCTAGACCAGACAATCCAGTGATTGATATCAGGCGCATCAGTCCGTGCAATTGGGATCGATGACATGCTTCAAACCAAGTCAGCGAGCCTGACCACCTGATCCTGTTAGTCGCCTCTTACGACAAGCATGGTCGCCTTTTAGTTCATGCATGGGTTGCTGAAGACCTATTCTACCCTGGATCTTCACGGTCCATAGGCTTTTGAATGTCATTACACAACTGACACTAGTGGGTTGGGGCCCAGAACCAACATACTTTGCACATCTTGATCTTCACAGATCTTTGAAGCCTCACTGTGCAGTCAAATAAAGATTGGTGAGGTAAGGTGAATTGGGGTTGCGTCCAAGATTATTGCACTTATATAGCCACGTGCATGTACCTGTGTTTGTTTGTGTGGCTGCTTGTACTAGTCCGGACTGATGCCGATTTATAGTGCTAGCTCACTGAGATACCATGCCGCAGTTAAACATAAACAGTATACTGACTCCGAGCCGACCAGTCCTTGCTTTAGCCCCTTAAAGCCGAGCGCCAGACAGGGTAACAACAAGTACCATCTTTTAACGTCTTTTGGTATGACGCAGCAGAGGATCTACTCTCCAGGCTGTAGCTCTACCACTAGACCATGGAGGCAGTCCTAAATAATGATTGTGTGAGTTGGGATTAACACTGCTTTTCAACAGTATTCCAGTTATATTAAGGTATGCCAGTTTGATGTGGGAGGAGTGAGTGAGTGAGTTTAATTTTACGCGGCTTTTAGCAATATTCCAGCAATATCACAGCGGGGGACACCAGAAATGGGCTTCACACATTGTACCCATGTCGGGAATCGAACCCAGGTCTTCGGCGCGACAAGCGAACGCTTTAACCACAAGGCTACCCGACCGCCCCAGATGTGGGAGGAAACCCACTAGCACGGGTATGGTGCTGACAAACCTAGAAACCTAATCGGGGCAAACCAGGATTCAAACCCATGATCTTAGGTTCATGGCGTGCCCAAGGGAGGCAACTCTGCACGACAAATCACGGCGTCTTTAACGACTGGGCCACCCGTGCCCCCACAAATATAAAGAAATCAAAACAACAATATCCATAAATTTTTAATTTTCATCTGATAATGACATGACCCTTGAATATATGATAAATGCAATTTCCTTCCATTCTCCACAGTACCTCTTCCCTCTGTTTGGTACCGAACTTGGCCAGCAAATAGTTCCACTACAACATGTATTCATGTTCTCGACACTCACACAACACAATGACAGCTACTCTGTATATCTGCACAGTACAAAATAGTCCTGAAGCACTGACGTTACGAAGAGTTGAACTTCCCCAGCAGATCACCATCTCGGAACAGATAATAGTCCTGCAACAAACAAGTTCAGTAATATTGTGCATCACAAACTGAAATACATCATTGACCACCCAGTTCATCTGATTGAGTTCACTACCCCTAAAGCCCATACAGAACAATGAACACTTTTCATAATTAGATAGAATTGGTCTTCGCCGTAAAAGGCGACTATGCTCGTCATAAAAGGCGACTAACGGGATCGGGTGGTCAGGCTCGCTGACTTGGTTAATACATGTCATCGGACCCAATGGCATGGATCGATGCTCATAATATTAATCACTGTATTGTTTGGTCCAGACTCAAATATTTACAGACCGCCGTCATATAGCTGGAATATTGCTGAGTGCGGCATTAAACACACACGCCATCATATAGCTGGAATATTGCTGAGTGCGGCATTAAACAAACAAACAAACAAACACAATCAGATAGTCAGGGATGTGAGCAGGTTTTCCCCCCAAAGAGAGGAAAACTATAGGGCATGCCCCCTATGAAATCTTTTAAACATTTGATTGCATTTTAAGCAATTTGGTGCAATTTGGAAAACATTCACACCATCTCAATGTTCAAAAATTACCTAGCATTTTTAGCAGTATGATAACCAATGAATTTAAACTATTACAAGGCCATGAAACATTCGATTAAATATTGAAATATTCCACTTCCTTGCTTATATTGAAACACATCACAGAACTACTTTAAGACATTCACATTATGTCACACATCAATTAATATGAAATCAGAATACTCTGTCATTCTTTGTATAATCAAATTTGTTTAGTACATAACAGTATTCATATTAAGTGATGTGTGACATCATGAAGTACATCATATGTGAATTTCTTGAAAATAGTTCTGTGATATGTTTCATCATAAATTAGGAAGTGGAATACCGTTTTCGACATAATAAGCTTTCAAAATTAAAAATAGGGGGCTCTTATTAGAATATTATTTTGGTGAAAAAACAGTTAAAAGATAAATTTCGTGGTTTATGCTGACAGCCTGAAATGTTTATATACGACAGATATATTTTTCCAGAATTTATTTGCCCATAATTAAGGGTGCATATAACACACGAGTGCGTATTATACGCGAATAAATAAGTCTTGTGTACATTGATCAATCAGAAGGGGTGCTAATTGGGTTTGTTCACTAGCCAATATATTAGCAAATATCGCCGTGGGCGCTTATTAGAGCGGGGTGCTTATTACATCGAATATGGTATTTCAATATTCATTGTCTAATCAAAATTGTTAAATAAATATGGAATTATTCCACTTCCTCATTTCCGCAGAGATTTTACATCCCTGGATAGTGGGGTCACAGGATTAAGTTGCATACATCAAGGCCTCAAAGTTGCGAATAAAATGGTCGCCAATGCGACTTAGATTTCATGTTGTCTACTGTCTAAAATTCAGAGATCACCACATGACTACCTTGAAAATTATCTTGTGTAAACTAAAATTCTATCGCTTCACATATGTGGACACAAAAATAAATAACAGCTGATTGTGGAAATCACGTCTGCTAATAATTGTACTCGCCAATAATTCCTCCTTAAGTCGACAATAAAAGGAAATACATAAATATTAATGTAATTAGTATTTTATTTCAGTTGGCAAGGCTCAGGATACACCTACATAATCTAGCAACATAAATTGCATCATTGATCGGTCACAAATAACAAAAATCAAGTAGTTTCCACTAATATACAATTCCAAGACTAATGCTTTGACTTGTAGTGTACATGTTATAATAGTTATTTGATCAAAGATAATTAATTTTTAAATGCTTTTGGCAACCTACAATATTGGCTTGACTTCTTGATTTTAACGCTGTTTAAAAATCCAAGTTAAAATGTCATTAGCTGGGACATTCCAGAACCTTTAGCCCAACAGAAATTTGGCTAGCCATGGGCCTGCGGGCAGGCGTGTATTTTGAACACTGCTCATTACACAGCAGTATTTTTTTTAAATGAATGCACTTTACACAAGAAAATATAAGGGAATCCTATAACTTGCTGATTGGTTGGTTGGTTTGTTGTTTTACGCCTCACTCAGCAATATTCCAGCTATATGACGGCGGTTTGTAAATAATTGAGTCTGGACCAGACAATCCAGTGATTGATATCATGAGCATTGATCCACGCAATTGGGATCGATGACATGCTTCAACCAATTCAGCGAGCATGACCACCCGATCCCGTTAGTCGCCTCTTACGGCAGGAATGGGTTGCTTATATAGCTTGCTGAAACAATGTGAGATCTGGACCTATGATGATGAAGAGCAGCACAGCATAACGACCCCTCACATAACAAAGGTGTAGCCCCTGGTTCCACCCACCTTGTCCTCCAGGACCACCTTGGTTCCTCCGTACTCTGGCAACAACACCTTGTCTCCCACGCCAACACTCATTGGGATGGTCTTCCCTTCCTGCACAAACCACAGAGAGTAACAACGCACTCAGTAATAAGTAAGCAACTACCAAACCAATCTGATGGAACAAATATTTGTTTAAATCGGGTTATCACAGACATTACACACCAAATCCCCACTCTAAAGAGTACAGTGAGGTGAGGTGAGGTGAAATGGGGTTAAACGTCGCGTCCAAGATTATTGCACTTATATAGCGACGTGCATGTACGTGTGTGTGTTTGTGTGGCTGCTTGTACTAGTCCGGACTGATGCCGATTTATAGTGCTAGCTCACTGAGGTACCATGCCGTAGTTTAACATGAATACCCCACTCAGACACAATATACTGACTCCGAGCCGACCAGTCCTTGTTTTAGCCCCTTAATGCTGAGCGCCAGACAGGGTAACAACAAGTACCATCTTTTAACGTCTTTTGGTATGACGCGTCCGGGGATCGAACCCCGGGCCTTCCGCTCTCCAGGCGGACGCTCTACCACTAGACCACGGAGGCGGTCCTAAAGAGTACAGAGGTCAATATGTCAATAAATTGGTAGTGGTGTAACCAAACGTCAATACAGTATTGTATAGTGAGGCCCACAATATAGTCCTGCGCCATGACTGTGGAATTTATAGATACATATCAATATTTCTTTTACTAAACGCCAAGGCAAGTCTACCGTGTGTTGTATCTGTTGTAACACCTTGTAGCCATGTTGTAACAGTAGTGTATCTGTTGTGACTGTTGTAAAAGTATTGTAATGGTATTGTTACAGTGTTGTAATGGTGTTGCATAAGTGCTGTATCTATTGCAATGGTATTGTAACAGTGTTGTAACTGTCATAACAGTGTTGTAATGGTGTGACTGTTGTGGTATTGTAACAGTGTTGTAATAGTGTTGCATCACTGTCAGTAGAACCAACTATTTAATATTTCAATATTATGCAGGGAGAGGGTCTTGATATTTTGTTTGAGATAGATATTTCAGTCAGCGCTTTAACATGTTTAAAATTAATTATAGATAAACCAAACAGTTTATTTCAACCTGAAAGATCGCTACATTGAACTCACATCAGATCTGGATCCTGGCCCGATGGCGACGACAGTGGCCTCCACTACCTTGCCCTGGGACTTCTCCGGCAACATCAGCCCGCTCTTCGTCTTCACCTCCGGGAGAAACCTCTCCACCAGTACACGGTCGAACATCGGCAAGAAACGCTTGAATGCCTGTGCCTGCAACACAATGTGCATGTAGAGGACCATGAATATCCGGGTTAGAATAGGTCTTCAGCAAACCATGCTTCCCATAAAAGGCGACTATGCTTGCTGTAAAAGGCGACTATGCTTGTCGTAAACAGGATCAGGTGGTCAGGTTCGCTAACTTGGTTGATGCATGTCATCATATCCCAATTGCGCGGACTGATGCTCATGATATCAATCACTGGATTGTCTGGTCCAGACTTGATTATTTTCAGACCGCCGTCATAAAGCTGGAATATTGCCGTGTGCGGTATTAAACAACAAACAAACAAACAAACAAAACAAAAAAGCATGTAGAGTTATATGTACAGCGGTAGAAACTACCATGTTTAGTCCACTAGTCCTAACAATAATAACATATAGCAAAACCCTTAAAAATGGCAAATGTCTGCTAGTCCTTATTATAGCTTAACTATTGGGCAGTTTGGCAAGGACTACAGGACTAGTGCCAATTTCTAATGCTGATGTAGGAGTTCAACAGCTTTTGAAATTGAAGCTAGTCCACTGATGGTAGTCCTCATTGACTAGTACATTTGACATGTTGAAACGTTACGATTCTGAACCAGTTCTCAAAGCTTAAAATTTGCTACAAACTGCACAAAACAAACAGAAAACATAAACATAGTAAACGTTTTTTGTCCTGTTCTGGACTAGCTACAGACTCTGATGACTAGTCTAGTCTTAAAAAAGAGAAACATTTTAAGGCTGTTCACAATAAAATTTGATTCACAGTGTGTGTGAGTGTTTGCCATTTAACCTTGGTAACAGGTGGATTTTTTTTATGATGAATCGCAACTTCGCAATGAGTGAGTGAGTTGGGTTTAACGCCGCTTTTAACAGTATTAGTTATATCATGGCGTGTCAGTTTAATTTGGGAGGAAGCCCAGAAAAGATGCAGGTCTCAGACATTTACCACTTCGGTGAAACCAACGAGCATGGGTATGGTGCTGACAAACCTAGAAACATAATCGGGGTGAACCGGGATTCGAACCCACAATCATAGGTTTCTGACGTGCCCAAGGGATGCAACTCTACACAGCAAATTGCTGCGCCTTAGACGACTGGGCCACCTGTGCCCCCAACTTTGCAATAAAAAATGTATGGTTGATTGACTGAGTGAGTTTAACACTGCTTTAAACAGCATTTCACTGATAGCACTATGTGCCAGCTTATGCAGTAAGAGAGCCCTACACAATGTTGTCCATGACATGTACCACTTGGTGAAACCCACAAGCACTGGAACTGACAAACCTAGAAACATGTTATAGTTTCCTGCCACACCTAAGGGATGCAACTCTGCACATTGAATTGAAATAACTGACAACCTGTGCCCCCTTAAACACACAAGTCACAAAATTTAAACTTATAATGCAAAAGTTTCCTTAGTATAGCCGAGTTCATTATTTTACAAAAAATGAAAACCTATATTCACAACAAAGTTATTTATCACTACAAGAGATACTGAAACAATTTCCACAAGCAACAACAAATAAACCAGATGGCATCACTATTAACCATGACATCACTATCCCTGCCTATGCCATCACCTAACAACGGGCGTGATAATGGCCCGTTGTCAAGCAATATGAGGGCATTATCAAGTTACACCGATTTCTGATAACAAGCGGGCGGTTTAATGATAATTCTATCCATTTTATCTCTAACCATATAACATAACCGCCTGGTAGGTATCGCTTTCCTGTGTGCATACCAAGGACTGGAGTGATCTCCGATTCTAAGTGCCCTTGACACACAAAGTGCAGGGAAAACCAACCTGAGTCCTTATTTCTTGAATTCAGGGCTTTTTAAAATTTCATTCAACACAAAAATATAAAACTTAACATGAGAGCCTCTTGTTTATTGACCCTGTTGTCAGTAAAATGCAAGTCACCTCAGCTCCTGCTATAACAGCCTAACTTGACAATTCTTTTATTCCTCTTCTCTTAAATGTGAAAAGTACAAATAAACAAGGCAAAAAGTGAGCAGGGCTTGCTAATACCCCCGACTTCAACTCCAACAAATTTCTAAGTTCAAAATATGAAAATAGCAATATTTTCTCAGGAACTACAAATATGAAAATTAAACTTTGCACTGCACCTCTTCTATTAGTATGGAAACTGTTCTCTAAAATTAGAGGATCCATTAACCATGTTAACTAGTTTAGTTGGTTATAGGTCGCACAAATGTTTCAAAAAATTCTTGTAAAACAAATTAAAATAGAGCTCTGTATTTCTTAGAAAATCGAAATATTGGAAACAAGCTTAACACTGCATATTTGCATAGAAACTGTATCCCCATTTGTAAAGAATCTAGGACATAGTTTTTCAAGTTATAGATTGCACAAATGTTGAAGTAAAAAATTCTTATTAAAACAATTTTAAACAGCTCTGGGTTTTTTCAGAAAATCCAAATATTTAAATCAAACTTCTCACTGCAACTGTCACAAAGTTTAAAAAGAATCTATGTAGTAGTTTTAAAGTTATAGGTCGTATACAAAAATGTCTTTCAAAGGACGACTTGAAGGACAGATGGACAGATTCCTTGGTTTAACAAAGTGACACTTTGAATAAAATAATTTGTAAAACATCAACAAAGATCCCTATCAGTGTATATTCAAATAGACTCCACCTCCAATCAGCTGTACATATCCTGAAACCTTTGTTCATCACCATCAACCAAAACCCATCTGTTCCAAGCCATGAACATAAACATGACATGTCACATATGAAGCCTGATCACCAGATGGCGCCGACAGAAGACAATACTGACACATTACCAAATTAATGGCACATAATTACCTTTAGTCTTAATGTTCATCAGATTTCCATGGCAACCTGAGCTACACATACCACATAGTATGGAATATCAACAAACTGAACAAAATGTTCTACATCTGTTGCATTCACCTTGCATAAATACATTCCCTCACCTAATCAGGAAGATGGGCTTCCAGACAAAGGCCGTATCTGAGTGGTACTGATGAAAATATGAACGATACCAGCGTTAGAAAAGGCACTAGTCCTGTAGTCCTTACCAAACTGCCCAATAGTAAAGGTATCCTAAGGACTAGTAGAAAGAGCATTTTGAAACTCTAAAAATTACCAGTCCCCCCTAATTTTTGCCTTGCCTTTCAACAAATAAAAAAACGTATGAAAATTATTTGGTTTTAATTCTTTCAACATTATGTTCAGTGCAAAGATGTCATTTCTGAAGTAACTCAGCAAGATCTTTACGTCATTCACACAAACTTTACACACAATTTTCTCCTTTTTTTAATATTTTGAGACGAAGTCGCTACAAATGGATATTTAACCTAGAAATAGACAAGGGGAAACCCTGATGGTAACAGACAAGCTGACTTTGTTCAAAAAATGTACTTATATGAATATCACCGATATTTTGTTCAACAACAAAGATTTATAAGTAGTTTATTTGCCAGTCCACAGGGACTGCCAGTCGCATGAATTACCGGTCCAAGCCTAATTTTACTGGTAAAAAAACTGGTAATTACCGGTAAACAAACACTGGTTTAAGCCTAAATTGTAACAAATTGTTTAGGAACACACACTGACAGTGTCTCCATCAGTTATAAATTTACCTGTTCACTGAGCCAGCAGCACATGAAATACTTGTACATTCAACATTGTGACAGTCAAATCAACAACCAATTAACCTAGTGGCAACAGCCCCATGGTAACAACTGGCACTGGCACTATGCTTTTAATTACTGATTTATGAATGTTTATAGATCCCTTTGTGAAGCCATTGCCATTCGTTCTTCTCCTGTGTTTTATCATCGCTAAGTGGGCCTTTACCACCACCACCCTTTGAATCAATTGCCCCTTTCAACCCACCCTTACTCAAACATAATCAAAAACATATGACTGCTTTCCCAAAATGTTAGCCTCAAAACCAACCTCTCCACTGTTCACAATTTTTCTACTTTACAGCGTCAGAAATTGGCACTTGTCCTGTAGTCCAGCCAAACTGCCCAATAGTTAAGGTATCATAAGGACTAATAGAAATTTGCCATTTATAAGGGTTTTTTTTCTATATGTTATCATTATAAGGACTAGTGGATTGAAACTGTTAGTTTCTACCACGCTTTACATTTGATTCATATGGTTAAGACTGGCTACATAAAAACTAGGAATTTCCTTGGTTTAAGGCAACACTTACTCATACAGATTTGGTCAAGTATCTTTTTTAAGATGATAATTTGCTGCTGGTATTTACTGGTACCTACTGGTCTATTTTACTGGTAAATAACTGGAAACTACTGGTTTAAGGCAACACTTACTCATGCAGATTTGGTCAAGTATCTTTTTTAAGATGATAATTTGCTGCTGGTATTTACTGGTACCTACTGGCCTATTTTACTGGTAAATAACCGGAAACTACTGGTTTAAGGCAACACTTACTCATACAGATTTGGTCAAGTATCTTTTTTAAGATGATAATTTGCTGCTGGTATTTACTGGTACCTACTGGCCTATTTTACTGGTAAATAACTGGAAACTACTGGTTTAAGGCAACACTTACTCATACAGATTTGGTCAAGTATCTTTTTTAAGATGATAATTTGCTGCTGGTATTTACTGGTACCTACTGGCCTATTTTACTGGTAAATAACTGGCAACTACTGGTTTAAGGCAACACTTACTCATACAGATTTGGTCAAGTATCTTTTTTAAGATGATAATTTGCTGCTGGTATTTACTGGTACCTACTGGCCTATTTTACTGGTAAATAACTGGAAACTACTGGTTTAAGGCAACACTTACTCATACAGATTTGGTCAAGTATCTTTTTTAAGATGATAATTTGCTGCTGGTATTTACTGGTACCTACTGGCCTATTTTACTGGTAAATAACTGGAAACTACTGGTTTAAGGCAACACTTACTCATACAGATTTGGTCAAGTATCTTTTTTAAGATGATAATTTGCTGCTGGTATTTACTGGTACCTACTGGCCTATTTTACTGGTAAATAACTGGAAACTACTGGTTTAAGGCAACACTTACTCATACAGATTTGGTCAAGTATCTTTTTTAAGATGATAATTTGCTGCTGGTATCTACTGGTACCTACTGGTCTATTTTACTGGTAAATAACCGGAAACTACTGGTTTAAGGCAACACTTACTCATACAGATTTGGTCAAGTATCTTTTTTAAGATGATAATTTGCTGCTGGTATTTACTGGTACCTACTGGCCTATTTTACTGGTAAATAACCGGAAACTACTGGTTTAAGGCAACACTTACTCATACAGATTTGGTCAAGTATCTTTTTTAAGATGATAATTTGCTGCTGGTATTTACTGGTACCTACTGGCCTATTTTACTGGTAAATAACTGGCAACTACTGGTTTAAGGCAACACTTACTCATACAGATTTGGTCAAGTATCTTTTTTAAGATGATAATTTGCTGCTGGTATTTACTGGTACCTACTGGCCTATTTTACTGGTAAATAACCGGAAACTACTGGTTTAAGGCAACACTTACTCATACAGATTTGGTAAAGTATCTTTTTTAAGATGATAATTTGCTGCTGGTATTAACTGGTACCTACTGGCCTATTTTACTGGTAAATAACCGGAAACTACTGGTTTAAGGCAACACTTACTCATACAGATTTGGTCAAGTATCTTTTTTAAGATGATAATTTGCTGCTGGTATTTACTGGTACCTACTGGCCTATTTTACTGGTAAATAACTGGCAACTACTGGTTTAAGGCAACACTTACTCATACAGATTTGGTCAAGTATCTTTTTTAAGATGATAATTTGCTGCTGGTATTTACTGGTACCTACTGGCCTATTTTACTGGTAAATAATGCATGACCTGGGTCTAATTTAATTAAGATGTGTACATAACCAGCATACCTATGACAGGTAAATCAAACACTGTTCTAGATTATGTAATGATTAGGAACAGAAGATGTATTACTGTATAGGGATGTGTATTGGAGGTTTAAAGTGTACCACAATATTCTGCGATGCACAAGGCCGCATTGTGATACTTATCAGAACATATTGCATAATTCTAAATTTTGATTTCAGAAGAATCTGTGTATGGATGGAATTTCACAAATAGAACAGAAAAGGATGCTGGTTCAACAAAATGTTTACTCATTTAATAAATATGCAGCCATCTTGGGGCCCTGTATTTGGCAAGTGTATTACATGAAACACATGATATGCATCGAGGAAAGAATTAACCTCAGTTTACCGAGATACCAGTTATACTGCACACCCTTAGTAATGATTGTCAATCCTGATCATTGTTTCCACATTCTAGAAGAATCGATGCTCATGTTGTCAATCACTGGATTGTCTGGTCCAGACTTGATTATTTACAGACCGCCGTCATATAGCTGGAATATTGCTGAGTGCGGCGTTAAACAACAAACCAAACCAAAAACATTCTAGAAGAATATCCAATCAAAATTTGATAAAAATCATGTAAATGATACAATACATTTTGTCACTCCCTTCTGTGAGAAAAATAAACACATCACAGGATTAAAAGTAATAAAAATTTATTCCATAAATAGATGTGTATGTACAAATGTAAACTCAAGACTGTACAAGTTGATCGTACTAAACAGAAACTGTACAAGTTGATTGTACAAAACAAGTGCTGTTTAGCTTCTTTCAAAGCGATTCATATTAAGCAGTATACACAAATCTTTCTTTAATACAGTCCAGGGTCTCAATCTGTTCGTTCATGATAAGACTTCTATTCATGATGAGTAGGTGGGGCATTTTTGTCAATGAGCTTCACCATTTCTGTGAGGTAACTCTGCACTGCTGTCAACGAAGCCACCATGGACGGTGCTCCAAAACCATGTGATATCAGACTAAACTGGGTCAGTGGTTTCTGTATACTGGCATCAAGAATTGGCTGGGGTCGTGTTACACCAAGAGGAGACCGGTCCTTTGACAGCAGGTCACAAAGCTCCTTTAAAAGCTGTTTGGTTGCCATGACGCGATTCCTGCGATTGTGGTCATTATGGTCGGAGTACCTCTGAAGATTGTACTCTGCACATTGTTTGGAGGGAAATTCAGTCTCGCATATGTAACTGTAGTCTTTCGCCAGCTGGATTGTCTCCCCTTCCACAAGAGACGTGAAGAGAGTCACATTGGCGGTTTTCCTTTTCCCTGCTGGAAGGCTGAGTCCAATCTTATCCAAGCTATCCCTCAAAGATTTCCCGCCATTTTTAGACTTGGCACGTCGCAGAATGCCCCCTAGGAGTGAAGCGTTCAGACATTCGGGGGCAGATAATCTTCTCTGGACTTCTGCAACACTGACCTTGTACTTGGCCGTAGCACTCAGCAATGACAAGCGACTCGGCACAGAACAAAATATATCAGTCGGGGCCACAACACTGGACACGATCAATTCCTGGTTCTCGTTCTTATGTCGAACAATTCCCTTTTCCGAATCGGAATCAGACTCAAGGAGATAATTGGATTCCGATTCCTCCTTCATCATGACATGATCATCCATTGTTGGGATGTTCATGATGCGGGCGTCATGGTCCAGGTTCATCTGTACGTGTCCTCCATGCATGAGGACGTTGTACTCGTCCCTCCTGGAGTCGTAGGTGTTGCTAGGGAGCACGGAGTGCATGTTGTACTGCAGATGGCTCTCATCTGGATGCCTCATGGTGTTCCGATCGACTTGATGCACAGGATTGTAATGGTGTTGCTGCATCTGATTGTACGAGTTGAAGTGACTGTATGGGTCCATGTTGGCCAGACTGTGGTAGTCAACTGACTGCTGAGTAGGTTGTTGCTGGGGAACCGGATTGTAAGGCGGAGGAAAATAGGGCGGCTGGAAATCTGTAGTCTGTAGCTGGTGCGATAAACGTGGTGCTGGTGCAGAGAAAGCACCATTACTTCCAATATTAACCTGACCTATGCCTTGACCTAGCCCATTTTGTTGAAGGTCATGGCGACGATCTTCAGGGTCAACTGGACTGAAGGCAGAAGGCATGCTGGAGAAATCTTTCAATCACTGGACACTCCAACAATTTAAATATGAAGGAACTTTGATGGTAATATTCTCACTTCCAATGTGCTTGAGGGTCTATCCTGTTGGACTGTGGTCACTGTATGTGCACTTGTAGGCAACTGAGAGAACTTGATCTTCCACTGAGCTATATTGGCTTTTATACACTCAGTGCAATATTTACCTTAGCCAACCAATGGTATCCACTTATGTTTATTGGATTAACACATCTTTGGGTTCAGAAGCATCTAAATGATTCAATTATCCCTAAACTTGACACTGACAGACCTGACAATTGAGTATATCTAAATAAAAGAAAGGTGTTTTTCTTTAACAATCAAGAATCCTTTTAAGTCTGAAAAAAGTCTCTTTGTTTTCACAATGGATTAGGGATTAACTATACGGCATCACCTCACTATGAAAACACAAGAAACATAATCCACACTATAAAAACAAATGAAGACAATAACTGTTGACATCGGCTAGCCATGCTAGGTGAGGAATGCTCTCCAGGGGGCAGTGTTGACTTAATTACTTTAATCCTTTATTAAATCAATTTCTTTGCATCACACCAGTGGGTCTACCCTGCCATCCAGTTAATACCAGACCCAGTATTGTACAGTATTGTTCATCAGACAGTGCACACATACCATATTCTGTTAATCTATAGAATCGTAAATATTTAGACAGTGTATAGATTGGATGTACGCCAAAATGTTAGCTGTGAAGAGATATTATTTATCTAATTCACCATCCTTTACAATTAAGGCAGCCGATGTTAATGACAGTGTTCTTATGGCATATTAAATTGTAACCATGGTAAGAACTTAATTTTGAATGACCACTTTAATTAAATAACTAATCTATTGTTGCATTTGTATAGTTACTTTGACTGTATCTACAAAATCCTACTGTAAAACAGTCATAAAATAGGCTCCAATATTACTGCTGGTAAATATGGAATTAGGGGGCCTCTAAAGTTACTGCTCACTTATATGGGCTTTTGAACACCAAGTATATGGGCTTTGTCGAATTGTCTACTGAGAATAAAATATGAATATTAATTAACACAAAATTATTTAGTTAACAATTAAGAAGAATTAACAGCATCGTGTTGGTTTCAGTAATTGGTTTTAAAACAATAACTACCGGGGGCTGGGTTTTGCCAGTCACTTCTAGTAAGTTCTGGTCAATTTCCAGACCCCTGGCACAACATCTCGGCACACGGTGCACGGCAATCAAAAGACAAATCTGTTTGTACAATATATCCATCTAAAAGACAAATATATCCATTTTGTAAACGCAACTACTATAACTTCTTTAAACTCCACAGTAACTTACCATTTCGATACTAGATAGCTTGCATCAGATGGTAGAATTTTCTGGATGCAGACCACGTGGTTGTCTGCTCATGTTCCGTGACCTTTCGGAAGGGAGCGGTAATTGTTAGGTCATTAGAATAGATTAATAAAATTCACCATAAATTATTTTGCGCCTATGAGTATCTTAACGTACGAATTAATAAGCTTTGTAACATTTTTTTTATCACAAAATAGCGATAAAATGCCTTAATTGTATTCGTACATGAGTTTATAAATTACGAAAGGTGACGATTGCGAAACGGTCCCTGTTGACCTTGATAAGTAAAGCTGTCGGCGAGAGGAAGGCATCGCAAGTTCAGAGTCCGAAAAGAAGATCGTAACGGTGTTTCAGGTAACAGTAGGGTTATAGTGCATTGCCTTTACTTACAAACGCACATAGCAGTTATTTGCGAACACGGACATTTGTCTTAAATTGCGCACCAGCGTTATGTAATTTAGAATAGCAAGGCATGGGCAACCCACGTGCACCGGGCACGCACATGGCCTATGATTACAGGCCATGTAAATAAATAGTGTTGTAGAAGGTGTGATGCATGAAGTTCATTTGTTGCCTTTTTTATATCATCTTAATAAAAAATCTCTTTCTGTGGACATTTTGTGTTGCTATAAGGCATTAAAAGTCGAAGAACGTTCTCGAAATGTAGCTGTATGCTTCTCGGTATTTATCGCAGTCGCGCTTATCTCCCTTAGGTTGAGTTGCCGGTTGGATATTAATGGGTTTTGTCTTAGACAATAGCAGTACTCTAGTGCCAGGAGTGGGCGTAAACAATCCAACATTCATCAGGTTTTGTTGGAGAAAATGATAGTCACTTTACTGCTCAAGGTAGTAGCCTAGATGTAAATACTCAACCTACAGATCCAGTAGAAATATTTCTGGGATAATTCTAAGTAATGTAGAAATCATGAGAATCTTTTGATTCCTGGATTAGAATCAACACGCCCCAAAGGAGCAAGTTGATTTTTACATCCGGATTCAACAGTTTTGAGTGATTTCTTAGATTTAAACCATGTTAAGGTTGAAATATAATCTCACTACATGATGGATAATGAGCTTTAGTGGTGAGTTTTACTTGTTTAAAATAAACATTCAGAATCGTGGGTGAATTCCTTGCTCATTATCAACTGCAAGAAGAATAGCAGGATGGTTTAAGTAAGAATATTAGTAATATCTAGTGGTAATGACATTTGATGTTGTTTTCATGTTCTTCACATATTCATTAATTATTCTCATGCCAACTCTCTGCTGAGTAGCTTTTTTATAAACCTTAATTGACATAGGTTACAATATTATTCCAAAATATAAAATTTAATGATAACATATAGCAAAACCCTTAAAAATGGCAAGTTTCTGCTAGTCTTTAGGATACCTTAACTATTGGGCAGTTTGGCAAGGACTACATGACTATTGACAATTTCTAACGCCCGACCACGTTAGTCGCCTCTTGCGGCAGGCATAGGTTGCTGGAGACCAATTCTAAGCCTGATCTTCATGGGTCAGGAACAAGTAGCAACAAGTCATTTGATATTGAACTTGTTAAATGGCTTTACGCATCCCACCACTCTTCATTGTTTGACATGTGTTTGTTGAAAGCTACCTCATTTGTTTCAACATTTGTAATTGATTTTCATATTATGAGACCCGTGAAGATCGGGGTAGAATAGGTAAAAGACGACTATGCTTGTCGTAAGAGGTGACCGACGGGATCGGGTGGTCAGGCAGGCTGGCTGACTTGGTTGATGCATGTCATCGATCCCAACTGCGTGGATCGATGCTCATGATATCAATCAGTGGATTTTCTGGTCTAGACTCGATAATTTACAGACCGCCGTCATATAGCTGGAATATTGCTGAGTGTGGCATTAAACAAAAAAAACAAAAATCATATCACGATAGTAGATTTTGTATGTTCTGGTACAGAATATGCAAATAAATGTCAGGTGTAAATTTTAACAGACGAAACAGTTAGCCGCAAATTTATTTTTGTATTTTTCAGTAAAATTAGCCAAAATGTACAGACTTCCAAGTTTACTCCGTCCATGTCTCGCAAGAAGAGTGGCTCCAGCCCTTGTCAGAAATTATGCCAAAGACATCAAATTTGGTGCTGATGCCCGAGCCTTGATGTTACAAGGGGTGGATGTCCTAGCAGATGCTGTTGCTGTTACTATGGGACCAAAGGTACGTATTCTGTATTCCATAAGTCCCAGTCAGTGTTCTGCCAAGGCAGCTGTCTTACCGAATTCCTGCAGTGACTTGCGCATAATATTTATGGTCAGTGGGACATCGGGCGCCTTCATGTAGATGGGTTTATTTTATGTTATTATGGGAATCACTGACTGTATCAAAAATTCTTTACATCACCCGGACAGCTGCTTCTACTATTCAATGTAAACATCCTCAATTTCCTATCAGTGCCTTCAGAGCTCCAGATAAGCTTTTGGTGTTGTGGGTATTTTACCCATGCATTTTAAAATCATTGGGTATCAGTAATTCTATCTGGGTATTCAAATTTCTGTTACCCACTAGTTTTTACACATGTGGGTATTTAAGTTAAATATTTAAAAACACTATCCATCTAGTCCCTGCAAACTGGTGTCGTGTGGGTTCGAGAGCTAATACCACGATACTTCCACAAGAAAGTGTGATGGCAAATGATCATGACGTAACTGTCATCGTGGAGTTTTGTGAGGTTGACGGAATGCCCGTTTATAATTTCAAAATATGTTGCTGATTTGCTAATCGAATACACAGGGTTACTTCACAATATTTTGATGATACGCACAAGTTTTATTTTTGTTGCGTATCTGTAATGTTCGTTGCGTATTTGATATGCTTGGATTTTATTTTACTGCATATTTCTGCATTTCTGATGCGTATTTCACGCAGATACGCAGCTTATCTGGAGCTCTGGTGCCTTTCATTGGCTGAAAGTCACAAATGGTCCAATGAGAATCTAGCTTACAAATGTTTGCTAATATAGTAGTCATAGTTCTGATTATGACAAAGATGTTTCTGCTTCAAATGACCTCAGTATAAGGAATCAACAAGTTATGTTGGGGATACACAGAATGTGTCGCATGGTTCACCTGGCAGTGACCATGGTGACGGACTGCGGAAATGTAGTAAAGACTGAGAAAGGTAGAGATTTTCAACGAATGGCTTCGAGCTTACACATGGTTGCGGAATAACTCAGAAAGAAATACGACAAGTCAGCTTTGTAGAAGTCATGTGAAATCTATTTCAATGCTATAGCTAAATTGTTATTTGAGAAAGAGTACTATGAAGAGACATGCTCACGCCAGTGTTCACAAACAAGCTGTTGAGGCTAAATATGTGACACAATGTTACATCTGACTAAGATGCCATTCGAAACATTCTGGGTATCAGTATTGTTACTTCTGAGTGGAATACCCGTGAAGATCCGGGGTAGAATAAGTCTTCAGCAACCCATGCTTGCCGTAAAAGGCGACTATGCTTGTCGTAAAAGGCGACTGACGGGATCGGGTGGTCAGGCTCGCTGACTTGGTTGATGCATGTCATCGTATCTCAATTGCGTGGATCGATGCTCATAACGTCAATCACTGGATTGTCTGGTCCAGACTCGATTATTTACAGACCGCCGTCATATAGCTGGAATATTGCTGAGTGCGGTGTTAAACTACAAACAAAAACAAAACTTGTGGATGGTGATTCTGCATCAATAACCTGCATATCAGTGTTGAGTTTTACGTGAGTGTGGCCCCATCAGTTTTGAAAATGACCCCATGTGTTCATGCTGAAGATGTCCTAGTCCTAACATGTGCAGTTTGTTAATCGTTCGATAATGGTTGTACTTTGTTTTCAAATTCAGGGAAGGAACGTTATTCTGGAGCAGAGTTGGGGCAGTCCTAAAATTACCAAGGATGGTGTCACTGTGGCGAAGGGTATTGAGCTGAAGGACAGGTATCAGAACATCGGGGCCAAGCTCGTACAGGATGTTGCAAACAACACCAACGAAGAAGCCGGTGATGGAACAACCACTGCCACTGTTCTTGCTCGTGCCATTGCTAAAGAAGGGTTTGAGAGAATCAGCAAGGGAGCTAATCCTGTTGAAATTAGGCGAGGTGAGTGCATGTGATTTTCATACATGTGATTTTTTAATATGACTATAGTTAATCTGTCATGGGGTTAACTTTTGTCATGTGAAAAAATTGTGTGTTCTTTGACTTCTTTTGAGAATACCGTATTCTACGTAATAAGCGCCCCGCTCTAATAAGCGCCAACGGCGACATTTGCTGAGGTATTGGCTAGTGAACAATCCCAATTAGCACCCCTTCCGATTGATCAATGTACACAAGACTTATTTATTAGCGTATAATACGCACTCATGTGTTATATGCACCCTTAATTATGGGCATTTAATTCTTGCAAAATATATCTGTCGTACATAAACATTTCAGGCTGTCAGCATAAACCACGAAATTTATCTTTCAACTCTGTTTTTTTTCACCAAAATAACATTCTAATAAGAGCCCCCTATTTCTAATTTTGAGAGCGCCCTGGGCGCTTATTATGTCGAATACGGTATATATAAATATTTTCTGTAATTGCATTGAATGCAATGTTAAACAACAAACAGTGTTAATCCATTGACCTAATGGTGCTAGTTTTGTTTTGTATATTTGTTTGTTGTTTAGTCCCACTCGGCAATATTCCAGGTGATGGAGCTAGTTTTGTTTTGTTTGTCGTTTAGTCCCACTCAGCAATATGCCAGGACTGAGAGTAATGCTCTGGTTTCAGGTGTGATGAATGCCGTGAACACTGTTGTGGAGACCCTGAAGAAGATGTCCAGACCAGTGACAACACCAGAAGAAATTGCTCAGGTATTGGCATTTGTAGAGCATAGTCTTAAGAAATATATATTATAGCGGTACCCTGCTAGGCATGCATTCACACATACAACTCGCCGTTAACACAAAATTCAAAGTTTGAGGGTTTATTCATGATTCACACAACAAATATAGTTATTCTAACACACATCGTAGACTCCGTGAACACCATGGTTCCTCTTTATTTACATCGAAACATCACAGTTTTCCCCCAAAATTGTTTTTCTTACTAACGGAGATAATTCTGTAAACACGTTCTGTGCATACCACTAAGAATATCTCGTTACATTGCTTTCTCCTACCATTACCATATTGTTACAGTGTATGGAGGGATGACAGCTGTCTTGTTTTCTCACTGAAACTAATCAGAATTCCTCACAGCTTCATTAACTGAAATAACAAGATACATGTTCATGAAGAATGCTGTTGAAACATGACTAACGTATGGTCTTCAGGTTGCCACAATATCAGCCAATGGAGATCAGGAGATTGGGGACCTCATCTCCAGCGCCATGAAGAAAGTGGGTCGTGATGGTGTCATCACAGTCAAGGTGAGATGCGAAATGTTTCCGAGCTGCTTCATATACCAGCTGGAGGATACTGCCTTGTTGTTTTCTATATCCAAGATCAGTTTTGTCGTTCTAAAGCAAATCACCTGAAAATGAGAAGGATAAGGCTGTTTATTACCTATGAGGGCAATCATATCGGGGTTTCTTAAAAATCATATGTGACCTAGGGTCATATTACATCACGAGACAACAGTGTATTGATTCCGTCATCCGGACGGCATTGTTGACGTCATTTGAATCTTATTGTAACATGAGGTCGAATGACCTCTCACTAGAAACAACTTCATAGCTGAAGATTGCTGATGTCATTCGACAAATTGTGGTTCTGCTGCTGCGACTTGCTGTAAACACCTAAATTCGTCTGTTTGTGGACATCTGTCAAAATAGAACATTATATTCGTGTTCATGTCAAACTATGTTTATGTTGCTCATGCCTAAACTTGACACTCCTCTAATAAGTTTTGGATTTGGATATTTTATTGTACATCCTTTTGTTTCTTAAGCCATGGCATCTACACCCAAATTTGTGTGCTATCAAGGGTGTGATTGTTTACAGTGGTCTGTTTTGGTTGTTGCTAAGGTTAGGATTTCTCAAATCAATGTATTGAAGAAATTAAACCATATTGTTTTAGAAAGGTGACATCTGATTAGCTCAAGAACCCACATATTCCTTTTTATTTCGATTGGTCGGCACCATACCTGTGCTCATGAGCTCACCAAAGTGGTCAATGTCTGAGACCTGCATCACTTCAGACTTTCCTCACACTGGGGGCGATGGTGTCGCCTAGTGGTTAAAGCGTTCGCTCGTCACGCCAAAGACCCAGGTTTGATTCCCGACATGGGTACAATGTGTGAAGCCCATTTCTGGTGCCCCCCATCGCGATATTGCTGGAATATTGCTAAAAGTGGGGTAAAACAATACTCACTCACTCACTCACTATAAGCTGACACGCTGTGATATAACTGGAATATTGTTCAAAGCGGTGTTAGACCAACCTCATTCATATAGATTGGGCAGACAGTGTTTGCTCCAGATCATGACAAAATCAACAATCAATCAAGTGTTACCACAGAGTGTTTATTCTTTTTAGGATATGCTGCACATGATTTTCAAACTTTACACGCTAATCCTGTATGAGACAAATGACGCATGTCATGGATCTGTGACGTCACATGTGATGCATTCATGTGCATCAGTTCACATAACATACCCGTATGTTCGTTTGTGCATCGAACCAATCTAATATCTCTTGAATATGAGTATGTCTTCATCATCTTACCAAGGCAAGGGAGTTAACTGACTATAAAAGTCCAGTTTCCACCCTTGTCGAACTAGGCTGGGATTTCTGGACTCGATCGTAGCGCCACCAGTGGCTATTACGAGTTGTCCCTTCGCTGACCCTCCTATTGACCAATCGGATTCCAGCTTGCATATCACTTGCATTTGCTTCAAACAAAACGGCAGCGCCCAGTCAAGACGATCTGATCTGATCGATAATCAACATCTATATTGTGATAAAACAGGTCTTACTTCACGAAGTGCATCAAATCACGTGAGCACCTTGATTAAAACATGAAAAGATTTGGAAAATATCTGTTGTGCCAAGTTGGCAGAACACATGCTTTGCAAATCCTGCAATCGACCCAAATCTGCACGGCAGTTTACGACCCGGATGTCATGTTCGTTATGCGATTTTGATTGGACTATGCAGTATGCATAGACTCGTTAGTCCAGCCAAAATATAACTTCATACTACCAGCCTAGTTCAGCAAGGGTGGAAACTGAACTTTTATAGTCAGTTAACTACGTTGCCCTAGGAAGATGGTCTTCATATATTAACCAGCATGAATGGTATTCACGTTTCTTTTGGCGGTGAGTGGATATGGTTTTAATGACATTGTTCCCTGACTGTGGAGTGTATTTGTTGCAGGATGGCAAGACCTTGAAGGATGAGCTGGAGACAATTGAGGGGATGAAGTTCGACCGCGGCTATATCTCCCCCTACTTCATGAACACAGCTAAAGGTGATGTACTGCGAGGAACTCTGACATTGGGACCAATGCTTGACAACTTCCTTTATGTCTGAGACTTTCATGAGTTCCGACTTTCCTCCTATATCGCCGTGATATAACTGAAATACTTTTCAAAGCAGCACGACCCATGCTTGCCGTAAAAAGCGACCATGCTTGTCATAAGATTGCATGGATCAATGCTCATGATGTCAATCATTGGATTGTCTGGTCCAGACTCAATTATTTACAGACCCCTGCATATAGCTGGAATATTGCTGATTGCGGCGCTAAGCAACAAACAAATCAAAGCAGCTTAGAGGAGCAGAGAGGGACCAGTCATCTAAGGCGTCACACTTCGCTGTGCTGGGTGATGTCCCATGGGCATGTAAGAAACGGGTTTTAGAATCTCGGTTCGCAGCAATTATGTTTCCTGTTTGTCAGCACCATACCTCTGCTCATGGGCAGTGTTCTATATGCCTGTCGTAAAAGGTGACTAACGGGATCGGGTGATCAGGCTCGCTGACTTGGTTGATTCATGTCATCGATCCCAATTGCGTGGATCGATGCTCATGATTTCGGGTCCCGACTCGATTATTTATGCAGACCGCCGTCATATAGCTGGAATATTGCTGAGTGCGGCGTTACACAACAAACCAACCAACCAACCAAATCTCCCAATGCTCATGTAGCCCTGTGTATTAAAAATATATAACTTCTCGTCACGATATAGCTGAAATGTTGCCGATGTGACATAAAGCATAAACTCACTCACTCATGTACCGCTGTATTGACTCCAGGTGCCAAGTGTGAATTCCAGGACGCCCTTGTGTTGCTATGTGAAAAGAAAATCTCCAGTGTCCAGTCGATGATTCCTGCCCTGGAATTAGCCAACCAGGCTCGCAAACCCCTTCTCATCATCGCTGAAGACATTGACGGCGAGGCCATCAGTACGCTGGTGCTCAACAGGTGGGTGAAGATTATCCGTCCGCTTTCAGCATGACCTGCAGGGGTGGTGGGGTAGCCTAGTGGTTAAAGCGTTCACTTGTAACGCCGAAGGCCCAGGTTCGATTCCCGACATGGGTACAATATGTGAAGCCCATTTCTGGTGTCCCCCGTCGTGATATTGATGAAATATTGCTAAAAAGGGTGTAAAATCAAACTTGCTTACTCACTCATTATCTGTAGTGAAATACAACAAATTTACACTAGTGACATAAAATACAGACAATACCGGCACAGTGGTGAGAACTCTTTTGCAAGTCGTTCAGAAAACATATATGTGTTTTATGGGTCCTGAAGAGAAACAAATATTTCAAAGTCTGTTGTGGACGAATCCGTTACTTCACCATGTTCAAGTTCCAGGGGGGAAGCCTTATGGTTAAAGCGTTCCCCCGCTGTGATATTGCTGGAATATTGATAAAATGGGCGTAAAACCATACTTGCTCATCCATGTTCCAGGATCAAGGTGGGTCTCCAGGTGTGTGCTGTGAAGGCACCTGGCTTCGGAGACAACAGAAAGAACACCCTCACAGATGTGGCCATCTCAACTGGGGCAGTGGTAAGCAGCTGTCTACTCCGTCTTGTTCATATTCCAAACTCTGTATCTCCTTAAAGGATTCTGGGGTAGAATAGGTACCCAGTACCTCCATGTTTTTGTAGGTCATCACATCCTTATTGCGTGAATTGATGCTCATGATGTCAATCACTGGATTGTCTGGTCCAGGCTCTATTATTTACATACGGCCGTCATATAGCTGTAATATTGCTGAGTGTAGCATTAAACAACTAAAATCTAATGTTATGGAGCAGTTCATGCTTATGGCCTGATCACTAGGTCGAGAGGAAGTAGAGCCGCACTCTTCTACCCTGCGCGGTTCTGTGACTGTTCGGGTGCACAGTAGTGCTAGATCAACTCCAGACAGGCGGGATAAGGTAGGCACGATGTTGCTGCTCCCACCAGACTGGATACACTGTGTTTGTTTCTTGGGCTGTAACGATTCACTGATACCTACAATATCATCGATACTTAGATGCACACAATACTTGAATTGGCAGTGTGTAAGATACACTATAAATAGAGCAGGAACTATTAGAGTTACCTCCCATCTGAGGCGACTAATGGGATTGGGTGGCTCGGCTCGCTGCCTTGGTTGATGCATGCCATCCCAACTGCATGGATCAATGCTCATTGTATCAATCATTGGAACATTTCTGAGTGCCAAATATAACTTTTATTTCATGATTTGAGTCATGACTATCACTTTCTAAAATGTAATCCAAGTTTCTGTGTAGTGTCCTTGTTGATAGTGTCGAAGGACCAAGGTTCTGCTTCTGGTTTTTGTCAGAAGTGTTGTAGGACCAAGGTTCTGGTTATGGTTCTTGTCAGAAGTGTTGTAGGACCAAGGTTCTGTTTATGGTTCTTGTCAGAAGTGTTGTAGGACCAAGGTTCTGGTAATGGTTCTTGCCAGAAGTGTTGTAGGACCAAGGTTCTGGTTCTTGTCCTTGTCAGAAGTGTTGTAGGACCAAGGTTCTGGTTCTGGTTCTTGCCAGAAGTGTTGTAGGACCAAGGTTCTGGTTCTGGTTCTTGCCAGAAGTGTTGTAGGACCAAGGTTCTGTTTATGGTTCTTGTCAGAAGTGTTGTAGGACCAAGGTTCTGGTAATGGTTCTTGCCAGAAGTGTTGTAGGACCAAGGTTCTGGTTCTTGTCCTTGTCAGAAGTGTTGTAGGACCAAGGTTCTGGTTCTGGTTCTTGCCAGAAGTGTTGTAGGACCAAGGTTCTGATTATGGTTCTTGCCAGAAGTGTTGTAGGAGTAAGGTTATGGTAATGGTTCTTGCCAGAAGTGTTGTAGGACCAAGGTTATGATAATGGTTCTTGTCAGAAGTGTTGTAGGACCAAGGTTCTGGTAATGGTTCTTGTCAGAAGTGTTGTAGGACCAAGGTTCTGGTTATGGTTCTTGCCAGAAGTGTAGGACCAAGGTTCTGGTTCTGGTTCTTGTCAGAAGTGTTGTAGGACTAAGGTTCTGGGAAGATCTCCTGTCGGGACTGTTGAGGACTGACACGGGCCGGTTCGTGTTGCAGGTGTTCGGGGACGAGGGCGACATGTACAAGCTGGAGGACATCCAGATGCAGGACTTTGGCAACATCGGCGAGGTCACCGTCACCAAGGACGACACACTGCTTATGAAGGTAAACAGAAAAGAAAATAAGCGGATTATGTAAAATAACTAAAGAAACAATCTATATGTTCAGATTTTCACTCATGTTGGACTAGCGGACTCGATGCAGGTCTTTTTCTGACCTCGTACGCCGTGCTTGTCCAATTGCTGAAGACAAGGGATAGGAATAGTTCTCAGGGTTTTAACTGTGACATGCAGACGTTGCACTTGCCTTCTAGAATTGTAATGATGTAATAGCATTGAGCATGATCTGAAACCATGGATTTCCTGATTATATGTGCAAGGCTCGAAATTACTGGTGCCGCCGTGCCTGCGGCAGACATATAAAGGGTAATGGCATGGTTGAATTTTATGTACAGTGCCTTGTGGGCACGGTCGTTTTCATTACATGTACAGTCATACCCCCGCGATAACGCCCTTCGCGGATTCGGTTCAAATGGTCAAATAACAGCATGTACCCAAACTTGTACAAAAGATCGATCTTACGCGAAGAGAAAACATAGAAATTAAAATCATACATTTTTATTTTTCTCATAAACACCGTTAATTTTTCTGTCGTAACCATGCACATGTATGCACATACTCTTAAGTGTGCATACACATACAGTACATGTATTCGTGTCCTCGTTAGTTGAACTTTCACCCGACCTCGAGACCCACGTACGAGCAGGGGATGACTGTACTTCATTAATTTATATTGTATGTCTTGTCAAAATGAACCTGTGAAATGAACCACTGTCACTCAATGACTTCCTGTAGTAAAATCTGCAAAGTTTTAGCGTATTGAGTATTTTGTGTCGGGTAAATCCTGCTGGTAGGTTTATTTTCCCATTTTGCTTGAGAAGGCAGATGTTTGACTTGTGTGTTTGCTGGTCCAGGGTAAGGGAGAGAAGGCGGAGATTGAGAAGCGAGTGGCCCAGATCAAGGATGAGATTGAGCTGAGCACATCGGAATACGAGAAGGAGAAGCTGAGTGAGCGGCTTGCCAAGTTGTCCAATGGAGTGGCTGTCTTGAAGGTTGGTGCTTGTAGATTGTTGCTTTCTCCACAATTCACTGTGCAGAGTTGCATCTCCTATGCCTGCCCAATAATTGATTGGGAATTTCCAGGTTCCTCTTGTTTGCTTCTGGATTTGTCAACTCGTGGGTTTCACCAAAATGGTAAACATCTTAGACCTGCATCACTTTTGGTTTTCCTCCCACATTTAGCTGACATGCTGTGATATAACTGAAATATTGTTCAAAACGGTGTTAAACTCACTCACTCACTCACTCACTCACTCACTCACTCACCATGTTAACCCAACAGCCAAACTCGCTCTTTCACTCAAGGGTTTCTGGGACAAGAAAGAGTGTCAATTGGGACAGTGGTCTTATACCGGGATGGAATCTTAGGTAGCAACAAAAGAACATTGCACTCTTCTACCCTGCTCGGTTCTGTAACTGTTCGGGTGCACAGTAGTGCTAGATCAACTCTCGTCAGGTCAGTTACCATGGGGACAACATCAACACGTTGTCTCTGTACTGATTAGGCTAAATACAGGTTCACATGTCAGATATGGGTTCACATTTTGGAAACTGGTTCACATATCAGAAAAGGTTCACATATCAGATGTCAGATGCAGATTCACATGTTAGGTACAGGCTCACGTCAGATGACGGTTCACATGTCAGATTGGGGTTCACATGTCAAGTTCACATGTCAGATACGGGTTGAACATGTCAAGCTCACATGTCAGAAGATGGGTTCACTTGTTAGATACGAGTTCATATGTCAGATACCGGTTCGTATGTCCAATGTGGGTTTGTGTGTCATACTAAAAGATGATAAAAGATGGTACTTTATTATCCTGCCTGCCGCTTAGCATTACAGGGCTAAAAGGAAGACTGTTTGGCTTGGAGTCACAAAACACTTAGTAGGGTATTCATGTTAAACTGCGGCATGGTAAAATCAGCATTAGTCCAGACTAGAACACACACACACAAAGGGGGGCACGGGTGGCCCAGTCGTCTAAGGCGCCGCGATTCGCTGTGCAGAGTTGCGTCCCTTGGTCACGCCAGAAACCTATGATTGTGGGATCGAATCCCAGTTCGCCCCGATTATGTTTCTAGGTTTGTCAGCACCATACCCGTGCTCGTGGGTTTCACCGAAGTGGTAAACGTCTGAGACCTGCATCACTTCGGGCTTTCCTCCCACATTAAGCTGACACGCCGCGATATGACTGGAATACTGTTAAAAGCGGCATTAAACCCAACTCACACACACACACACACACACACACACACACACACACAAAGACACCACATTCACTCAAAGTTGCAAACCTTTCCTAGAGCATACATCCCAGTAGTCAATACTTGTGCAATAGGCACTTAGCCCAACTCAGTCTCACTCAACATGCCCATGAGTGTCCAGTACAAAGGAGAGTGTCAATTGGGACAATGGTCTTTATCCTAGGTAGCAACAATAGAACAATGCACTCTTCTACAATGCTCGGTTCTGTAACTGTTCGGGTGCACAGTAGTGCTAGATCAACTCTTGTCAGGTCAGTTACCATGGAGTCAACATAAACACGCTGTCTCTGTACTGATTAGGCTAGATACAGGTTCACATGTTGGGTGCAGATTTACCTTATATAAGTTGTCCATATAATTCCAGCAGACATATTTTCAAAGCATTGATAAGTACATGTGTAAGTGGTGCTGCGTCAGTCAGGAAGCACAGACGTGTGATTCCTTTATGTCTGTTGCACCTCGTATTGCAGAGTTGTGTCCCTTGAGCATGGCAGAAGTTATGATTGTGGGTTCAAATTCCGGTTTTCACAGTTTGTGTTTCTAGGTTTGTCAGCACCATACAGATGTTTGCTGGTTTTACACGTCTTAGCGAATAAGCTCGCTCACTTTGTCTCTCTCTCAATTGAGTTCGAGGTTGATTTACTTGTGAAGATTTATCGATCGAGTTCGATTGATCTATTGAGTTCGATTAACTGGTAAAGATTGATTGACTCGTGAAGATCGATCGAGTTCGATTGACTTCTGAATATCAATCAAGTTCAGTAGACTTGTGTTGATCGATTGAGTCTATTGACTCGTGAAGATCTTGGTAGAGGAGGATTGGTCTTCAGCAACTCATGCTTGCCATAAGAGGTGACTAATGGGATCGGATGATCAGGCTTGCTGACTTGGTCCCAGTCACTGGATTGTCTGGTCCAGACTCGATAATGTACAGACCGCCGTCATATAGCTGGAATATAGCTGAGTGCGGTGTTAAACAATCAGTCAATCGACCTATTTAAACCTGACTATGCCTCTTGCACAGATTGGAGGGACAAGTGAAGTGGAGGTGAACGAGAAGAAGGATCGTATCAATGATGCACTCAACGCTACAAGCGCTGCAGTGGAGGAGGGCATTGTTGCAGGAGGCGGAACTGCACTTCTCAGATGTATGCCCGTACTGGATGCCATTAAAGCTGAAAACAGTGACCAGAAAACAGGTATGGTTGCCAGCAACCTTTGCTGGTAGTTAGTCTTCGAAATGGATTGAGTGGTGACTTGGTTGATTGTGTGACATCTTGATACTGTGGGGCATTGTACCGTGATACTTTGGGACATTGTACCTTGATACTGTGGGACATTGTACCTTATTCTTTGGGACATTGTACCTTGATACTGTGGGACATTGTACCTTGGTACTGTGGGACATTGTACCTTGATACTGTGGGACATTGTACATTGGTACTGTGGGACATTGTACCTTGATACTGTGGGACATTGTACCTTATACTTTGGGACATTGTACCTTGATACTGTGGGACATTGTATCTGCAGGACATTGTACCTTATACTTTGGGACATTGTACCTTGATACTGTGGGACATTGTATCTGCAGGACATTGTACCTTATACTTTGGGACATTGTACCTTGATACTGTGGGACATTGTACCTTATACTTTGGGACATTGTACCTTGATACTGTGGGACATTGTACCTTATACTGTGGGACATTGCTCCTCATATTAATGTCTGGATTGTCTGGTCCAGACCCAATCTTTGCCATCATATATAAGATATATATTTTTGCTGTCATATAGCTGGAATATTGCTGAGTGAGCTATTAAGCAGAAAATAAACAAGTACAGAAGGTTGAGGATTGGTCCAGACACGCTTATTTATACAGTCCATGCAAAACAAACAAAGCTTTTCATGCATGGTGATATGCAGAGTTAGAAACTGACAGTTTCAGTCCACTAGTCCTTACAATGTTAACTTATAGCAAAACCCCTAAAAATGGCAAATGTCTACCAGTCCTTATGATACCAGGACTATAGGACTAGTGCCAATTTCTAACGCTGATATGTGCCTGTCATTGTTGCCAGGTATTGACATTGTACGCAAGGCCCTGCGGATGCCGTGTCTCACCATCGCTTCCAATGCTGGCGTGGAGGCCCACGTGGTGGTCGAGAAGGTGCTGAATGAGAATGGGGACTTTGGGTATGACGCACTCACTGGCGAGTATGGGAATCTCTTCGAGAAGGGAATTATTGACCCAACAAAGGTAATTTATTTAAGTCTGGTGATTTTTTGTTTTATTCATTGCTTAGCAGTCTTGTACCTCAAGTTGGGTCTTATGACTAATATGTGGTGTGCTGGATTTATAAGTATTGACAGACTGATGCAACAATGCCTAGCAGAACAGTAAATGCAATTTATGTGGTAAATCATCATTTTTGATTTTTGATCAGATTTCATATTTTTATTGAACAATTGTGTAAGCACCTGTTTGTTAACCTGAATTCACAGAAGGGACACGATGTAGTTTTTACTGTGCCTAATACTTAAAAAACTGTTCCTAAATACTGCATCCCCTAGATGGGGGTTACGGTTGGTCAGACTCGCTGACTTGGTTGATGCATGTCATCGTATCCCAGTTGCGTGAATCGATGCTCGTGATATCAATCAGTGGATTGTCTGGTCCAGACTTGATTATTTTCAGACCACCATATAGATGGAATATTGCTGCTTGCAGCATTAAACAGATGCACGCACGCACACACGCACTCACGCACGCACATTATGTTTGGGTGCGCAGTATAATCACCTGCCAACTTCAGCACCCAGTGATTTGGTGTGTGACCAACATGACCAATGTTCTTATGACTACAGTGAAACTGTCCTCTGTTGCAGGTTGTGAGGACAGCTATCGTTGATGCTGCAGGAGTAGCCTCTCTACTCACCACAGCGGAGGCGGTCGTCACGGAAATTCCTAAGGAAGAGCCTGCTGCACCAGCTGGAGGGATGGGAGGTATGGGGGGGATGGGAGGCATGGGTGGAATGGGGGGCATGGGCTTCTAACATGATTCCACGGACCTGCAGTTGAGGGACCTTGTCAATTGGAAATGTGGACAGCTTCTGAGAAGATTGATCGTTGAACTCTATTGATAGACATTGGAGATGATGATACCGATGGAGCAGGATGTTGTGGAGAGACAATGGACCAGCTTGTGAACTGAAGAAATAGGAGCATGTTGTCCCCTAGCAACAGTTCATGTACCCTAGCAACAGTTTGTGTAGCTACTGATGCTTACATGCTCTAGTCACTTTTGACAAAGTGGACCAACCTTTAATGCTAGTTACATTACCTGAATACATAGACTTTGTAATATTTGGTAATGAGTACAAAAAAATATATATACATCCTAAAGAATCTAGCTATCCTTGCCTATATAAGAGTGAGTTTACAGTGTGTGTTGGTCTTGCGAATGTATTTATACTAATCAAATTGACGGCATAAGCACATGATAAATCAGATGATAAATCTCGGATGTAAATTGTCACATGAATAGTTGCAAGGGGACACAACTCTGGATCTACAGGTATCAAGTCTATTGCTGAAGAGATGGTGGGAGTCATAGCACATCAAATCATATTTCAACATTTTCAAATATGTATATATTAATGCATTCAAATTGCATTTATAATGCTTTCATTTCCATTGAAATACAGCCAGTATTTCATGTCGTATCCAATGCATTTACATGCATTAGCAATGTGATCTGAATGCATTGACAAGTGGCAGGATTCAGGGAAACAATCGGTCTGGGATTGACGTGAGGTGGAATTTACACAATTGTATTGTATCAAAACAGTCTTAAGTTCTTTGATTCCCAGCAGGAAAACCATCATTAACAGCTAATCCTTAAATGGTGGTTTGGGTAGCCTAGCAGGCAGAGTGATCTGTTGTAGACTGGTTTGATTCCCCACAAGAGAACCATCAGTCCCACATTCTGCATATTGTCACAGATTAGTCATCAAGGGTGATGGGGGATAGCCTGAAAATGTCTTTGTCCCTTGCATCCAAAGCAGCTTTGGTTAGTGCTAATTGATAGTCTGTAGCTGTTGGGCCCAGTTGTGAAGAGTTCCCTCTATCCTTGTGTAGGACCCAGATTGTTCCTATTGGTACAGTGTGAGGCAAGGCAGGGTGCCCCAGACAGGATGTCTTTGAAGACAATCTCATTAAAATACATCTCAGTTCTCGCTACTGCTAAATATAGATCTGAGGACATCCCTTTACGGGTAACGTCAGACTGACCTTTTGCAAACTTTGACCAACCAATGGAATGACAAGAAGTCCACATTTGCCAATCATAAGGCAGCTCTCACTGGTGTTAGGCTTTGAAACATATTTTGATAAATTCTCGATTAAGAGTTTGAAAACTGGACAAAACATTCTGGAATGGCTTACAGATCGCCTTGATTATATGGATTCAGTCATAAAGGGCTGTTGTTCGGAATACCTGTGTTAAAGTTTTCGAGGTCTGGATTCTAACACATTCCGACTGTCACTTTCACGATCTTGTAGGCTACGCTCTGATTGGTCGGATGAAAGGATGTTCTGACGTAACCGGTAATGGGATGTGCTCAGATCTTTGTTTAGGGGTTGTGAGAAATAAGATCTGATTTTAGTGAGATTGTTGTTGAAGCTGGCTTATACCCTGGGACTGACTGTTCTCCTGTGTCGTGTGTTTGCATGTGTCTAGTGCTGGTTCAATGTTAGTACAATGTGTGTGGTATGTCTGGCAGTATTTGGGGTAGCAAGTGTGATATACAAGATTTTTTGTAATAAAATCAGATTATATACTATGAATTTTTGTTTTGTCTATTTAATAGAAGTAACGGTTTATGAACAACTTGAAAGTGATACAATTTATGGATAATAACTTCTTTGTTTACTGTAAGTCCTTGCTTGACAACGGTATAAGGATCTACACCAAAATGTCACCTTTGCAGTAAATAAAGAAGTCGTTATCCATGAATTGTGTCTACTCTGTCATCTTCTCAGTAAATTCAACTTGAAGGTGGAAGATCAAATGATTATATTTGGACCTTAGCATAAAATTGTTTATGCTTCAAATAATTTGAATCCTAGAAGGAATCGAAGGCAACTGAATTTGCTGTGCAGTTGTGTCAGAATTCTATGATCGTGGGTTCAAATACCTTATTCAGCGGGGCGGTCGGGTAGCCTAGTGGTTAAAGCGTTCGCTCGTCACGCCGAAGACCCGGGTTCGATTCCCAACAGGGGTACAGAAGCCCATTTCTGGTGCCCCCCACTGTGATATTGCTGGAATATTGCTAAAAGCTGCGTGAAACCATACTCACTCACTCACTCACTCACCCTTATTCAGCGTGTTACACCGGCCCCTTAGTGTATAATATCCCCATCTTATGTTCATAATGTAGTGGACACACAATCACTGGATAACCGAGGATGCAAATGGGTTAGGATCGTGGCCACACTGTCTAAAAGTGCATACCAGTGTTTGCGTTTTAACCCTATGTTAAGGAAGTAATTCTCAAATATAAGTCAATAACTTCACAGAATGCATATTTAATCCTTAACACAAAACGCCAGAAACAATGGACAATCAGTGACACTGTTTAGTGCAATAAGACAACACAAGCCCCACCTCTATTATCAGTCAATCAGGAAACGATAGAATGCTAGTGGGCGCGTTTAGTCAATCAAATGCCATGGAATCAGTTGCAATTTATTGTTATACTCATACTCATGTTATGGGTTACACTCGTACTGGGGAGTATATTCATAATGTAGACATAATGTCATAGTCTATTTAGATGGGAGAACTGTTGGACACTTGTTCAGTGGTGTTTGGGTTAACCTCCCTTCTCTGTTTTGACGACACAGTGTAGCCGTTTTCGCCAGAGAAATCTGTGACGTTTTGCTGAGTGCCGTTTTAGCCTGCATCCGTTTTGACGCTTGGTCTAGATTTTCGAAACGATCGTAGCCCTAAAATTATCGTAAAGTTATCGTAAGGAAATCGTAGGCTATCGTAGCCTTTTTTCGAAACTTTCGTAGCCCTAAGATATCTTAAGATTGTCGTAAATCTAAGATAGCCCCATACCTGTCGTAAGTTTATTTTATCTTCATCCAAGATGGCGGCATACTTTTCTATAGATATTTTGCCAAACAATTAGTTTGCTTTACGTTCAAAGATTGACATTTCATTTTGTAAAACTGAGTGATTCAAATTGACACTTGGAAAACACGAAGAACGCATCAAGGATTTCACGTAAAAAATGTTCACCCTCATGGTGCCTGGACGTCAGTCAGCCTGCAAGCCGCTCAGTGCCGCACTGTGCTGATATCGCGGTTACAAAAACGTATACATTGTATCAAAAGTGTTGCAACGTCTTTATTTCTTCACATCTATCTTTCCATATGTTTGATTTGATTATGTTCTGTAAATCAGCATCATAAAAAAAAGACAATCTGCAATCATGCTACAGGGTTCCCCCTAGACTCCAATATCTGAGAGTCACCTTGACTCACCCTATGAATTTTTGGGAGTCAAAAATATTTTTTGAGAGTCAAATGTTTTATTGTATGATTAATGAAATTTAAAGTGTTCACTGTTAATGTTACACTTAAAGTTAAGTATCTTTTATATATTATATGTCTTTAGTTTAAGTTAACAAGTGCTAATTAATGTTCTCAGCTGATTGTACAAAAGAGAAATAAAGGATATATGAATGAAAAACAAAGTTTGTTGGTTTTATTTTTTCACAATCTTTAATTACTTCACAGCTCATGAAACAATTTACAGTGACACTAATACAGGATGAATAAATAACATCAGTCTCAACTGTGAGACATAATTTTTAATCATGGATGGATATTCAAATACATTTCATGTCAGATTATAATTTAATACCACTAACTCATTTACATGTTTTATCTAGTTATCTTGTATTATCTATCAACAGTGAAGTTGAACTGAAGAATTGTGAACACTCGTAATATTTTCTGGTTGAATACAGTTTATTAGCAACAACAAACACGCTCAAAGCTTTACATTTCGTATATACCATATTTATTCATGTATAATACACACTCGTGTATAATACGCACCCCTAATTATGGGCAATTAAATCCTGAAAAAAATATCTCTCGTGTATAATACGCACAGACTTTTCTCCAGTCTCATTTCAGGCTGTCATGATCCGTCATCGGAAATAGCATAACAAATCCGAATGGAATTACGCAAGTTAATCCTGTTGTTACACTATCTGGTAATAAAAATTTGTCTCTGTATATCTGACCTTATGTTTGTCATCTATTTTATTAATTTTATTTAAAATTTCATTCAATAATGTTTACCTAAATTTCGGCAAAAACATGTGTCCCTCCGATACTTACAACTTCCGTTTACCCCGTTCCATAGGTTCCGCTTTACCACATACTGTGACCGCGCCAAATCACATTATTCACCGCAACAATGATAATATTTTCTTCTGTTTCATTTTTAACGAGTCTACACATCTAGATAAACATATGTCATGGTTAACTTTTATTGAGAAAATATGCCGAAATGTGAAAAACCTTGTCCATTATGTTTACATCACATTCTGTCATCGAAGCCACACGGAGTGTGAGAGTTACGTTCACTTTGATGAATAAATATATTTTGTCGTGTACCTCACAGTCGCAGAGTTTTAGTAGCATATCTAAATAATTATGCAAAACAATATGTAAAGCCCCTGGCTGTTCTGATTTTAGCGTTTGTTTTAAAACGAGAGAAAAGTCTGGTCATGTGACAGGCTATGCAAATTAGCCCGTGGCAGTGGTGTTATGCGAAGTTAAGTTACTTCTAAAAACGACGATTAATTAAAAAACTAGACGTAACTTTTAAGATGTTTGCATATATTGTCTTCAGATAATGTTTATAAATTAAGTTCAGGTGAGTAATTGTAATATTTTCATTCCAAAGCTGGTAAACAACAACACAGATATTTTGAAATTGCGTCAGTCATGACTCAGTCATTTATTTCTGGACGTATTTTTCCTTAATTGAGAGTCATATACGCAAGAATTCTGCGTCAGGGGAAACCCTGATGCTAAATCGCCATGACACACAGTAGATAAACATATGCAATACTTGAACAAAAAAACTTCCGTGGCCGACTAAACGTTAGTACTCTTTACGCCAATAACTGTACACTGGGGACTAGTAAATCTTTCTGACCAGTCCGATCAGATTTCTATTTCAAATTGGCTGTCTGATATAATAATAGTTACGTGTATGTGACATGGGTGCATAATAAAAAATTGCCTTCATTCGCATGAAGTTCAACATGGCAGAAAAAGATCGAGAAGCGCGGTAACCACATTACTAATCTCGCCATATTTCGCAATCCGTAGCACTGCATAAAATATGAATTACACGATATTGACGTTTAGATGATTAGGGTGATGATGGTTATAAATTCGTTCAATGAACGTCATAAATGTAATCGAAATATACACTGTCGTTTTCTCATGTGTACCGACCATTCCGCCATTACCGATAGTCGATAAAAATATACAAAACGTAAATAAACTTGTTCGTAAAGGAGTGAACAGAATTGTATTTACGTGAATAAGTATACAGTTGGGAAAAATATGTCTTTCTGACCACTCAGGTCATATTTTTTCTTATCAACAAGGATTTTGTCTAAAAATATTTACGTGTGTGTGACATGGGTGCATAATCAAAATTCGCCGTCATTCGTTTGGTGTTCAAACATGGCAGAAAAAGGCCGAGAAGGGCGGTAGCCACTGTACTAATCTCGCCATATTTCGCAATCCGTAGCATTGTATAAAGTATGAGTTACACGATGTTAAAGCTAAGATGATTGGGGTGATGGTTATAGTTTTCACTTTGCGCACTCAGTGTTTGATACCAAAATTCACAGTTTAAAAAGGGCATTTTCTCGGGACCATATATGGTCCCCTGGCACTATGCGGGTGTGAAAAGTGAGGGACCATACATGGTCCCGTGGCACCAAGAGGGTTAATCGCGACAGCGATCCACATAACTGTGGAGTCGATAGCTTACAATATATTTCTATCCGAGTCCATGCTGAAGAAGTGTGAAACAACGTACCTTTTCGATAATTTGGGAAGGATCAAAACGGAAGGTTACGGCAGGCTACAGTAATGACCGTGACCTTCTTGATAGCTCAGGGGGAGCTAATCTTCGTTCAAACTCTAGTTGAGAGTGGTTTCCCTTTGTATTCGCCCGGGACACCTTGCTCAATGTTACAGTGTTCATAAAGCGCAGAGTTCGGCTGTTATATTTTCTGGATCGCATTTGTGTCAATGCTTTAGTCTTTATTTTTGCATTTTATAAAATTATATCAATCTACATATGTAAAAAAAAACTTAAACCTGTCTGTTGAACAATTGTATTCTTTAAAAACATTGATTAACGGCATATAGATGTATTCAATTAAATTAACAATTTACTGAAATGTTTACAGTAAAAGTTAAGCACAGATTTTCGTATCGACAAATCAAATAAAAAATGGGTTCCCATGCTCGTTCTGGTTCTCGTCAAAATGTAGCATAGTTTGCAAATTGTCAAAAATTCACTTTCCAATATATGTTCGCAGAAAAAAAAGTTTATTGAATGAAATTTACTGATCACTATAAAATACACTTTTCAACACAATAATCTTTTCATTCAATAAACCGGTTTTAAAATATTTTGGTGTTTTTAATATTTAAGTCTACATCTTCCCGTTTTATGTTTAAAAAATATATAGATATACTTGAGACCATTCAAACAATAAAATCGTTGTCACGTTTAGGGTCAACGGACAAATACTAGTAAATGATCCTCAGCAATTCTGTCCGACAAGCCAAACATCATTGAACTACGTTCTGGAATAGATTTGACACATTACAAAGTATTTCGCTCCTCAGTCAGATTTAAATGAAATCAGACAAATCAGTTTATTAGCTCTACTTAATTTAAAAGGATAGAAAATGACTACATTATATGTATGTTCACGTTAACTTGTGGCGTGTTCCATGAGACAACATTACTTGACAATTCCGAAATAATCTCTCTTTGCGAACGAAAATTAGTGTCACTTTTAAATTTTGAAAATAATTATGGATCTAGATAGATAAAAAATAATTTCATCATCTCAATGCTAATAGCTTGATATTGTATTTAACTCCTTGGTTAATTCGTGAAATATATTGGAAACATAAATAACAAAACAAACTTAACAAGCTTAGATTGTCATAAAAACTTGCTTGTGGGTGCGCTGATTCCTGAACAATTTTTGTTTTGAGTGTTTCGTTGTATAATGTTGGTGTTTACACTAATATAAAATTGACTTTTGACAAACATATACAGTATACATTACTTAACATCAGACTTGGTCTCTCCTGGGTGGTTTCAAACAAAGCATTCACTACATAACTTGAAAAAATCAAATTATTCGATGTTCCATACCTGGTCACATGTTAAAACAACAAACAAATGAGCTTCTGTATCAATACTTTACTTGGTGACGGTCGCTGGCAGGAGGGTCATGATGGACGCCTGCTGTGTTGGGGAGCTTGCACAGGAGAACACATATGAGCGTCACCAGTAGAAACGCCACCAGACAAACGCCCAGGCTGAAACACAGGCGAAGGTTTTAGATATTTTATTTCCGCATTTTACAGGAAACTGGTTTGCTCAGATTATGTTTCCAGATTTCTATCCGTGCGCGTGGATTTCACCGAAGTGGTAAACGTCTGAGATCTGTATCCATTCGGGCTTTCCTCCCACATCAACCTGACACGCCGTGATATAACTGGAATACTGTTGAAAGCAGCGTTATACCCACTCACTCACTACAGGAAACAGAAAACCCTTTTCAATCAAAACACTTATCAAATATGCAGAAATGCCATGTCTTACGTCATTTTAGTTATAGATAGTTATTGCAACCAGTCGCCCATCCACTGCACATGTATGATCTCCATGGGGACCCCAGTGGTCAAAGCGTTCTCTCGTCACGCCGAAGCACGATTCACCAAATGGTTACAATGTGTGACCCGTGAAGATCCGGTGTAGAATAGGTCTTCAGCAACCCATGCTTGTTGTAAGAGGCGACTAACGGGATCGGGTGGTCAACCCCGCTGATTTGGTTGATGCATGTCATCGTATCCCAATTGTGTAGATCGATGCTCATGTCAATCACTGGATTGTCTGGTCCAGACTCGATTATTTACAGACCGCCGTCAAAAGACTGGAATTTTGCTGAGTGCAGCGTTAACCAAACAAGAAATAAACAAACAATCAAACAAATAATGCAAAACATGTCGCAGCAATTATACCTTACTTATTACTTCTTTGGCCGCGACAATTTGGCTGGTTTAACTATGGCTACATGGCCGTTCTGACATGATGATTTCACTGTTATGACCACGACAATTTTTGCCGCATTCAGCCTGTTGGAACAATGTCTCCATTCTTTATTGTATAGGGTGAGGTGAAAAGGTGTTTAACGTCGCGTTCGAGATTATTGCACTTGAAAAGCGACGTGCATGCACGTGTGTGTGTGAATGTGTGTGTGTGGCGGCTGGTACTAGTCCGGACTGATGCCGATTTATAGTGCTCGCCCACTGAGATACCATGTCGCAGTTTAACATGAATACCCCAATCAGACACAGTATACTGTCTCCAAGCCGACCAAGCCTTTAATGCCGAGCGCCAGACAGGGAAACAACAAGTACCATCTTTTAACGTCTTTAGGTGTGACGCGGCCGGGGATCGAAACCCGAAATTCCCCTCTCCTGGCAAACGCTCTAAGACTAGACCACAGAGGCGGTCACCATGTGTGAAATTACGACAACTCTTCGTGTAAATCGTGATCCAATGATTCAATAGACAGACACAACTCTTACAATATGCAGGCCAGAAGAACGACGATGGTGTTGAGGTCTCTGACTTGCGGGGATGGTGTTGTTGTGGGAGGACCACGTGTCTCCTTCGAGACGGTAAGCGGTGGGGATGTTGTTGGGAAAGGAACAACGCAGGCGTACTTGCTTCTCAGTTCGAAGTCCTGTACGAATAAGGAGAAACGTCATGGTCAGTACAGAATGTTCAAAACGTGAAATATTTCAACTTGACATAATACAATTGTTTGTTTGGTTTTTGTTTGTTTTTTTTGTTTAACGCCACACTTTTTTCTTTCTTTTTTTTGTCTTTTTTTTGTGTGTGTGACATCATTAATTTATGTTAATTGTCCGCGATTTTACATGGCACTGTACATTGCCACGTTGACTGGCATACCAGGGTCTATATTTGGGTTTGAGTTGCTTAAAGCAATAAAACTCATCTAAGTATTCAGTACACATTTAATTTGTTCTGCAAGATTAACATTGTTATACTGACGCCAAACTTAACACTATTCCAGCTATATGACGGCGGTCTGTAAATAATCGTGTCTCTACTAGAGATTCCAGTGATTTACATCTTGAAGATCGATCCGCGCAATTGGGATCGATGGCGTGCATCAACCAAGTCAGCAGCCTGACCACCCGATCCCGTTAGTCGCCTCTAACGACAGGCTTAGTCGCCTTTTACGGAAAGAATGGGTTGCTGAAGACCCATTCTACTGCGGATTTATACACTGAAGATATAATACATACTAAGCTGGTTCTCGGCTCCCTCTGCGCGTCGTCAACCTGGCGCTATATTGTGATATTAGAGACAGGGCCCAGCTTATAATACACACTCACGTAAACCAGCAGTGATGGCGGTTGTTGTCCGTGCACAATCAGGTCTCCCTCCACAGTCTGGTCACACACGAGCCGGATCACCGTCAGCCTGGGAAGAAGGAGGAGGCACACGTGATGTAATACCGCCATAGATACACTCCGGCGATAATCCTGCAGGACGCACCCATAACCGGCTTCATACTTTTCATTTTGGGAATCGAACCCAGGGGTCGGCACAACGCTTTAACTACTAGACCACCCCAATGACTTTCAGTTTGGCGTCCGGTAAACTGAAGCCTCGTTTAACCGGACCATTGCGTTCCTGGTGAAGTCGTTAAGATAACAACTTAACGAATCAGGGGTCGGAGCTATACCCCTTTATTAAAGTGCACACGTTACCAGCTGTTAATGCCCGGAAGACGGGGGTGTCCGGATTGGCGGGGTTTCGACTAACTTGTTTTCACTGTATTACGCATCGTTTGGCCTGTTTTTAAGTGGGATCGAGAGCCCGGAATATAGAACTGAGATTTGCAAGTAAGGAAACAGACCTAGTTGCGTGCAAGTAAGGAAACGTACCTGGTTGCGTGCAAGTAAGGAAACAGACCTAGTTGCGTGCAAGTAAGGAAACAGACCTGGTTGCGTTCAAGTAAGGAAACATACCTGGTTGCGTGCAAGTAAGGAAACAGACCTGGTTGCGTGCAAGTAAGGAAACAGACCTGGTTGCGTGCAAGTAAGGAAACAGACCTGGTTGCGTTCAAGTAAGGAAACATACCTGGTTGCGTGCATGTAAGGAAACAGACCTGGTTGCGTGCATGTAAGGAAACGTACCTGGTTGCGTGCAAGTAAAGAAACGTACCTGGTTGCGTGCAAGTAAGGAAACAGACCTGGTTGCGTGCAAGTAAGGAAACAGACCTGGTTGCGTGCAAGTAAGGAAAAGGGACGCTGGGGTAACCTAGTGGTTAAAGCGTTCGCTCTTCACGCCGAAGGCCCGGGTTCGATTCCCCACATGGATATAATTTGTGAAGCCCATTTCTGGTGCCGCGATATTGCTGGAATATTGCTAAAAGCGGCGTAAAACCATACTCACCCACTTCAGTAAGGAAACAGACCTGGTTGCGTTCAAGTATGCGTGGACATACTGCATGGTGAGGGTATCTGTGTCGTCGTACTCAAACTGAACCCCGGCTTGTGACCCCAGACTGAAGAAACGCGGACCTTTTGGATCAGCGTAGTACCCCTGACAAATCTGAAACACAATAGCACGCTCTGTAATATACAGACCTTAAATACCTTTAATGGGTTTTTTGTTTGTAAAACGTGAACAAATCAAATCACGTCAAATCAATATCTTGATCCGCATTTAATTCTCACCAAGTGTTCTGAGGTACAATGAACTAGTTCTATAAACATCGCGGAGTTGGAGCGGTCGGGTAGCCTAGTGGTTAAAGCGTTCGCTCGTCACGCCGAAGACCCGGGTTTGATTCCCGACATGGGTACAATCTGTGAAGCCCATTTCTGGTGTCCTCCGCCATGATGTTGCTGGAATATTGATAAAAGCGGCGTAAAATCAAATTCGCTCACTCATAGCGGAGTTAGGACCCATTGTCAGTGTGTCTGTGCATATCTCTCTGTCGTCTTTCGTCTCATCGCGCAAAACCGGGTTTCGTCTTCAAAAGTTATTTTTTTTATGTCGCATGTGCAACGCAAGGCTTACGCATTCAAATCCATTTGATATATCATTGTTTCGCTCACAGTTACGTAAAACTGTCAAATTAAAACGTTCTAGCACGGTACTTTTATTGGTGTAAGACTAGTGTCTTTTTACGCATGTCTGTTTTTCAAACGAATCTGGTACCTTCAATTTATTTTGCTCCCTCAGAAATAAAATTAAATGTGTGACATCTCTGGGTAATTTTATAGCTAGAGGTAGACTCGGTGCCGTGCGACAGGAATTCTCGCATAACGTTTACTTTTAAACGCTTTTAAGAAGTGTCAGGAAACTAACTCGGCATGCAGAGGGTTAACGCCGCTTTCAGCCATTCACCAGCTATGTCATGGTGCCTTGTCAATAAGCCGAGATCAGGTAAACAAGCGGCTGATTGCATGAGCAACGTTACATGACGTCAGGAACGAGGACGCAAAATAAGCTAAGGTTACACATTGTACACATTGTAACCACGTGATAGGCATAGGCGTTTCTTGAATACACGGTTTGTAAGGAATGAGTGACTGAATGGGTATAACGCCGCTTTAAACACTATTTCAGTTACATCACTGCATTTCAGCATGGAGCGGGTAGCCCAAAGTGAAACAGGTCTTCACTACTTTCGTGAAACCCACGAAGACATGTATGGTGCTCACCAATAAATGATCATATTCAGAGTGAGCCCAGATCCTGACACGCTTAGGGACGTAACTCCGCGCTGCGACTACTGTAGGCTATTCCTGTCCCCGGTTTAGAAAAACAGTACTTGCATGTTTTTAACATCTATCAGTTTCTACAGATGTCCCACCGCCCCACTTATTTTGTTGTTTTTTTCACCCGCCCCACTTATTTTTTCCCCACCGTCCTACTTATTTTGTTGCTTTTTCCCCACCGCCCCACTTATTTTGTGGGTTTTTTCCCCGCCCCACTTATTTTGTTTTTTTGTTCCCACCGCCCCACTTATTTTGTTGTTTTTCCCAACCGCCCCACTTATTTTGTGTGTTTTTCCCAACGCCCCACTTATTTTGTGTGGTTTTTCTCACCGCCCCACTTATCTTGTGGTTTTTCCCCGACGCCCTATTTATTTTGTTGTTTTTTCCCACCGCCCCACTTATCTTGTTGTTGTTTTTCCCCGCCCCACTTATTTTATGTGTTTTTCTCACCGCCCCACTTATTTTGTGTGTTTTTCTCACCGCCCCACTTATTTTGTGTGTTTTTTCCCACCGCCCCACTTATCTTGTTGTTTTTTCCCACCGCCCCAATTATTTTGTGTGTTTTTCCCACCGCCCCACTTATTATGTGTGTTTTTCCCACCGCCCCACTTATTTTGTGTTTTTCCCACCGCCCCACTTATTTTGTGTGTTTTTCTCACCGCCCCACTTATTTTGTGTTTTTTCCCACCGCCCCACTTATCTTGTTGTTTTTTCCCACCGCCCCAATTATTTTGTGTTTTCCCCGCCGCCCTATTTATTTTGTTGTTTTTTCCCACCGCCCCACTTACCTTGTTGTTGTTTTTCCCCGCCCAACTTATTTTATGTGTTTTTCTCACCGCCCCAATTATTTTGTGTGTTTTTCTCACCGCCCCACTTATTTTGTGTGTTTTTTCCCACCGCCCCAATTATCTTGTAGTTTTTTCCCACCGCCCCAATTATTTTGTGTGTTTTTCCCACCGCCCCACTTATTATGTGTGTTTTTCCCACCGCCCCACTTATTTTGTGTTTTTCCCACCGCCCCACTTATTTTGTGTGTTTTTCTCACCGCCCCACTTATTTTGTGTGTTTTTTCCCACCGCCCCACTTATCTTGTTGTTTTTTCCCACCGCCCCAATTATTTTGTGTGTTTTTCCCACCGCCCCACTTATTATGTGTGATTTTCCCACCGCCCCACTTATTTTGTGTTTTTCCCACCGCCCCACTTATTTTGTGTGTTTTTCCCACCGCACCACTTATCTTGTTTGGTTTTTTTCCACCGCCCAACTTATTTGTTGTTTTTTGCCCCGCCCCACTTATTTAGTTGTTTTCCTTCCCACCGCCCCCCTTTTTCTTGTTTTTTTTCCCACCGCCACACTTGAACAGACGAAACTGGTGTTGAGCAGATTGAAGTCTGAACATGGATTCCAGGTGTAGTAGAAGGTGTCGTCAGTCGCCGAAATGTTGAAGAACCTGAAGTAAACGTTGACATCGCCAGCATCATCAACATCCAAACATCATTAATACGTGACATCACGCGCTCATTAACAATGTATTTTAACCGTTAAAGGTTTTACTCACCCCACATGCACGGTTGCCGCAAACCCAGAAACACAACCAGGGCGAACTTGCATTTGTACATGCGATCATACTTTTTATTAGGTTTCTGGCACGCCTAAGGGACGCAACTCTGCACAGTGAATTGCGGCGCCTTTGACGACTGTCCCACCTGCCCCCCCGAGACACACATGGTGCTACTATGGAACGCAATGACCTCATCAAGCAATACATGACGTGTCATAATATCACAGAATGCAGAGACTATCAATTAAGCAAATATTACTCATATAAAATACCATCTTTTCAAGGCAAGGGAAGTTATACTATAGAAGTCCAGTTTCTACTCTTGCCAAACATGACTGGAATTTCTGGGGGTGGGGGTGATCACTAATTATGCTGAGATATTTTAAACCCTCCATCCGCTTTAAAAAAAAAGCTGTATCCGCACTTGTATATAGCGCAGAAACAAAATCCGGTTTCAAATATTTTCAAACATATTTTTAAACCACTCAGATTTCGGATTTCTTTTACATAAAAACAAAGTTCCAGTCTTACCTAGGTTTATCGCCTTGACTGTCTAGAGAGCTGAGGTCTATTGTCCCATCTAACGTCGCGCATGTGCAAGCACCTGTTTTCATGCACACTCGACCTTCACCTTGTGAACTTGGAATGGCCAACAACATCAACGAGAGAGTCAGTCCTAATGTTGGCATTTCGTTTTCTTAGATTCGCCTTGATCTTAAAGTAAAAGTTGTTTTTAAATACGTTCTATGTTTTATTAGCTATATACATCGATAAGTCTCTTCAACTATTGCTTAGCGTTTTCAATAGGTTCCATCAACTATTGCATAACGTTATCAATAAGGTCGTTCAACTATCGCTTAACGTTCCCATTAAGGTCAGTTATCTATCGCTTAACGTTCCCATTAAGGTCATTCAACTATCGCTTAACGTTCCCATTAAGGTCATTCAACTATCGCTTAACGTTCCCATTAAGGTCATTCAACTATCGCTTAACGTTCCCAGTAAGGTCATTCAACTATCGCTTAACGTTCCCAGTAAGGTCATTCAACTATCGCTTAACGTTCCCAGTAAGGTCATTCAACTATCGCTTAACGTTCCCATTAAGGTCATTCAACTATCGCTTAACATTCCCATGACTAAAAGGTCCCAATAAGTTTGTTCAGTTATTTCTGAACGTTACCAATATGTCTAGACAGAGGTTCCCACCGAGTGGGTCCTTCTATAGACACACAAGGCTGCAACGCAAGCTTGACACTACACAATAAACACCTTCACTATGTCTAGCTCTGTATTCCTGTGTGGGTTCTGACGTCACTTCACATTACTGGGAATAATTTGACTTTTACCATACCTGAAGCAGGGTAATGTCCTCTAAGAACGTTAACTGAATCCGTATGTCATGTAAACTATTATCTGATAGCCAACCAAATCGGCTAGTATTAAATAGGTCAGAGATCAAGTGATGCTTCAGCTTCTATGGAGGACAAATTATGATAGTTGTACACACACTAACGGAGGGCAGATAATAGAGTTGAGTACAAATCCGATAGGATTTCCTGTTTTCATCTGAAGGGACCCATCCCACACGACATGTACATAAATTTACACTTACCTAGCACAGCTCACTCTGTGTATGTACTTGTGATCATTTAAACATGTAGTTATCAAGCTGTTATCATGTTGTTATCTGGTCAAAGAGTCTTGTTATCAGCGGTTGGTGAAAACTACCTGTGTCTCTTTTTTGACTGTCTACACGCAAGTATACTCAGGTCACAAATCAGGCGAAGTTAAGCAACGTTGGTCGCCAGGAGTCCTTGCTTAGCTTAGCTCCTCAGAGTAATTTGGGCGTTGGTCCTGCCCCACACTGAAGCATATGAAACACACGTGGTGTTTCCTTGGGCAAGTGACATTGTTCGAAATGTGCCTCTGTTCGCCTAGCAGTGAATGGATACCCGGTTGAGAATGATGGTTGGGTGAACACTGATCCATTGACCCGGGTCATAATGGTGCGGCACTTTGAGTATGCCCCTGTGGTGTGGACATAGCGCAATATAAATAACTTTATTATTATTATTATTATTATTATTATTATTATTATTATTATTATTATTATTATTTACAGATCAAAATAAAAAATGCAGCAAAGAGGGTTTGTGTGATCCTGGCACAGTCAGGCTGGTTAGGCTCATCATCAGCTCAGGGCCCTTGCCCCCTCTACACGCAGCCCAGCCAGCGAATGGGACACCTCCCATGAAGTGCTGCTTAGTCAAACCCACCCAGAACTTTTTGGAGAATGTGAAGACTCCCCAACACTGCAGCCTTCTGCATTACCCAGATTGTCAGAAGGGCTGTATTCCTGGTAGCAAACCCGGGTACTCTCCCAATGTCAGTCAACAGATTAAGAGGTATCAAACCTAAGGCGCCGGGAACAATGGGGAGTCGGACAACTTGGTACTTGGGATGCAAGCGTGACATTTCGAAAGCGAGGTCCGCATATTTGCCATGTTTTTCCTGAATCTTGTCAATCACATTGGTGTCAAAAGGGACAGAAAATTCAATGACATAAATGATTTCATTGGATTTATCAAACAGGACAAGATCAGGTTTGTTGGCCTTGATACGTCTGATGCTGTAAAACGGGCCTATTCCAAAGAATTTTGTATTTATCATTTTCCATGACGCCCTCTACATATTCTGGGTCGTACTATGGATGGACATCTGTGTCAAAACCTCAAGCATGGTGAATACGGTAATAAAATGATCGAGCCACTCCATCATGTCGCTTAAGATACTGTGTTTGTGCCAAAGCTGGGCATCCACTGACAATGTGTTGGATAGTCTCATCAAATTCATTACATAATCTACATTTCATGTTTACATTTTGATGCAAAATCACACATTGAGGGTTTCGAGTGGGAAGTGACTGGTCCTGGCAAACAGAAAGCCTTCTGTTTCACTTTCCAGGCCAGCCGACCTCATCCAAGCGAAGGACTCTGCAGGGTTGCTGATCCTCTCACACTGCACATAACTCGATGCAGTGGTCTTCCAGATAGCCTCTCCTTGAAAAACTGAGTCTGGGCCGATTTGATATGGCACTTCGCTTGGTTGACACTCATTTCTGTCCAGCAGCACAGAACCATCAACAAAAGCAACACCGACATTGAGATTATGTCCCACATCCTTGGCTCGTTTACAAAAACTGTGGAATGCCTTGTTTTCATCATGAGTCTTGACATGCTTCACAAGAGGATCATCAGACAAATAAATGTGTGCAAAAGTGCACAAAACAATTCTATCATGAACAGCCTCCACATTAATCAAACCACGCCCTCCCATCTTATTTGGTAAAGCGATTGAGGGAAGAGCGAGAGTGGTGGGATCTATTGTCTGCCATGATTCTTCGTGTGGGGTGTCAATACCGTGAATTTGGTCAATAACTCCTCCTCCATGTAAACCGACTGATCCTCCCTTTTCTACCTTGCCACGTTTCAAATGAAGAATGGTGCATTTGTCGAGTCCAAAGGACAATGCCGATATCATTAGAAAACGACTCGACAAGCAGAATCTGTTTTTAAGTGTAGATCCTCCATTGGCAATAAGTTCAAGGTCATCAATGTAAAGGAGGTGAGTAAGGGGTGTTGGGGATCTGTGCTGAGGAGGTCCAGGATGATAACCTTCCTCTTTGCTAAGCAAAAAGCTAAAAGGATTTAATAACAAACAGAAAAGCAAAGGGCTAAACGAATCGCCCTGAAAAATTCCTCTTCTAATAGAAATGGGTTCCGAAGTCACCACCTATTATTATTATTGTCGTTGTTGTTATTTGTGCTGTGGTGTGCTGTTGTGGTGCGGTGTTTTCTTAACAATAATCCATACCTTAGTGGCATCATAAAACAATTACCAAGTACCATGCACATTGACTAGTTTACATGCTGAGGCAATATATTTTGGCACAGTTTTGGTGTACATAAATTCAAATATTCAGTTCATGGTCCTGCATACTTGAAACCATTGCATGTACGGTGAGCAACTGTTTTTTTATTAACAACTTATTAATCCCCAACAGGGAATTCGTGCGAATTCAGTCATGCTGGTGTCTAGCTAAATCCAGATTAAGAGGGGACCGTCTCCAAAGCAAAGCGTTAATAATTCAGGGTTCACCAAAATAGATGTGTTATTACATAGCCTTGTATACCTTTATATACCTCACAGTTTATTTTCATTATTTATTATTACAATATCCATATACACATGATACAAACACACAGTAAAACTGACAAAGTCCGTCTTTGGAGAGACTTTCAGAGTGAATTTAAATGTCAACACGCATGCCTTTCTGTGTGCCTTCAGTGTCCAGGTGTTTTGATGTTCATTCTTTCAGTTAGATAGATTGGTTGACATCTGGTCACATCCGGCGATGACATTTGTGCCGACAAAGGAAAACATGTCGATTTCTTAACCTTTGAAATGTAGCGGATAAACATGAACCTTGATTTTGTTTTCGTACGTTATTTTCGTTTAGGGATATATTTGAATATGACAAGAAACCTGGCTGTCCTTTATCGATGTTGCGTAAAACCTCGCTGACGGGACAAATTGACTTTATAGACGAGTTGAAGTTTGTTTGTTTGTTTGTTTGTTGTTTAACGCCCCACTCAGCAATATTCGAGCTGTATCACGGCGACCCGCGAAGATCCGGGGTAGAACAGGTCTTCAGCAACCCATGCTTGCTGTAAAAGGCAACTATGCTTGTCGTAAAAGGTGACACGGGAGGTCAGGTTGGTTGATGCATGTCATCGATCCCAATTGCGTGGATCGATGCTCATGATGTTAATCACTGGATTGTCTGTTCCAGATTCGATTATTTACAGACCGCCGGCATATAGCTGGAATATTGCTTAGTGCGGCCTTAAACAACAAACAAACAAATATGACGGCTATCAGTGGTAGTAGATGTAGTTGTAATAGTAATAGTAGTAGTTGTAGTAGTAGTATTTGTAGTAGTAGTAGTAGTAGTTGTAGTAGTAGCAGCGGTAGTAGTAGTAGTAGCAGTAGTAGTAGTAATTGTTGTAGTAGTAGTAGTAGAAGTAGTAGCAACAGTTGTAGTTGCAGTAGCAGTAGTTGTTGTAGAAGTAGTAGTAGTAGTTGTAGTAGAAGTAGTAGTAGTAGTAGCAGCAGCAGTAACAGTTGCAGTAGTTGTAGTAGTACCAGTAGTAGTAGTAGCAGTAGTAGTAGTAGTTGTAGTAGTAGTAGTAGCAGTAGCAGTAGTAGTAGTAGTACCAGTAGCAGCAGTAGTAGTGGTAGTAGTTGTAGTAGTAGTAGTAGCAGCAGTAGTAGTTGCAGTAGTAGTAATTGTAGCTGTTGTTGTAGTAGTAGTAGTTGTAGTAGCAGTAGTAGTAGTTATTGTTGTAGTAGTAGTAGAAGTAGTAGCAACAGTTGTAGTTGCAGTAGCAGTAGCAGTTGTTGTTGTTGTTGTAGTAGTAGTAGCAGCAGTAGTAGTTGCAGTAGTAGTAGTAGTAGTACACTATTCAGAAACAGTGATCGTCTGTAAGTAAGCTGTCCGCTGTGGCGTCAGGTCACGCGATGACAACATCAATTTTCGTTTGTCTCCTGAACACAAGTCGGTTTTTAACGTTTTTGTGCTACTAATATTGAGTTTAGAATATTTCTTTCTTCTAGATACTTGTTTTAACATGCTTAATGACTGAATGGAGAAATTAGCAGATGGATTCAGTGCAAAGAGGGTCACGAAGAAGTTGTTATCCATATATTGTGTCTACAAAGTACCCCCGCTACTGTGTGTTACGTCACGACTGTGCCTGTTTGCGCTTAGACGGAACCCAGTCGCAAAAACGGCCACGAGAGTATCACGAGTCGCTATTCGGGTTGTCCCGGAAGAACACGAGTTGGTCACGAATGACGGCTTAGTATGTACAGTCATGGATTATTGCGTTCCGCCATTACTCGTCAAAGTAGAGTATATGTCCACAAAACACGCTCGTCTGTTTTATGGAACCCGCTGATTCCGTACTTGGTTTAGACGAACACGAAGGTTTAAACCCTATCCTGACCTGCACTGTTTTCCAGGACTATAAGAGTATCCACCCATGACAACCTTTTCTCGGTAAACAGTTGAATGTACCAGGATAAATCTTCAGGGGAGACAACCCACGCATGTATAAAACATAAACATTGAAGCGTCTCTCACACGCCGTACAGTACTTGTCAGCACTTGATTTCCTATTTTTGTGTTGGATCACCACAGTGAGATCATGGGCATAAGTTACACGACACATGTCGCAAATGCTACAGGTGAAAATATCTTTGCAAGAGTGGGCGAGGACAAGATCGTAGTCAAATCACTTGGAGGGGGGCGTTAACAGGAAAGTAGGTGTCAAAGGCTTCAAGTGAGAAATCGATGTTCATGGTGATGTAAAGATCCACATTGGAAAACTACTACATGATGGGTTTGTAGCCATCGGATCTCGCGACTATCTGCCGTTCCCTGCAGACCGCCTCCGTGGTCTAGTGGTAGAGCGTCCGCCCGGAGAGCGGAAGGTCCGGGGTTCGATCCCCGGCCGCGTCATACCAAAAGACGTTAAAAGATGGTACTTGTTGTAACCCTGTCTGGCGCTCGGCATTAAGGGGCTAAAA